CTCCACGCCATCCTTGTCATGGGTTAGCTTTGGAAGAGACACCAGAGATGAACTAAAACAAGTCACTTCTGTTCATTAAAATTGGCATCTTCTCTAAGGTTTGCAAAGTGCCTTCCTTGCAACCACCTTACGATGTAGGCAATAGAAGTATTGTGGTTACCATTTCACACACGAGGAAACCGGGGCTCACAACCTAGGAATCCTCCTAAGACTCCTCACTATCTCTTACCACCCCCCACATCCAATCAGTTGCCAAGGCCTGTCAATTCCACCTTTGTAGCATCTCCCCAATATGCCCCCTTCTCTTCTCTGACTGCCCCCAGCCTGGTGCAGACCCTCCTCACCTCACATCTGGACTATCTTGATAGCTACTGGTGGGTCTATCTGCCTCAAATCTCCCCCCACTGCAATCCATCCTCCATTCAGCCACCAAAGGCATTTTCCTAAAGCATAGGTCCAACCACATCACCTCCCCACCCCCCACCCCCAGTGACTCCCTATTGCCTCCAAGAACAAATACACAATGCTCTGTTTGACATCCCACACCCTTCACAGCCTAATACCTTCCTTCGTCTTCCTATTCTTTTACCTTACTCCCCAACTTGTACTCTTCAGATTCAGTGACATTGACCTCCTGGCTGCTCTTTGAACAAGACCCTCCATCTCTGGGTGTCTGGCTGGCTGGCTGTCCCCCCATGCCAGGCATGTTTGCCTTTCTCTGCCCTGCCTACCGACCTCCCCGGCTTCCTTTAAGTCCCAAACAAAACCCTCCCTTCTAGAAGTCTTTCCCAACCCCGCTTAATACAGTACCTTCCCTCTGAGATTACCTCCAAATTACGAGGTAGCAAAGACATGTCTACAATGTATCAATGCGTCCAGCCAGGTCACCTGTGCCATCCACTGTTGGTCAGCTCTAAGTGTCAGGAGGTTCTTTCTTCTAGAGTCAAAACCGATTTCCTTAAAACCCCTTCCCAATCTCTACGTGCTCCATCCTGTGGGGCCAACCTGGACCAGTCCATTCTCTTTCCCCAGGGGCTCTTCCCTCAGTCAGAAGCAGCAAAAGCAGAATTGGGGCAGAGGATGGAGCCCACTGGGGAAAGGGCCACGGGAGCATCGTGGGCTCCAAAAGGGAAGGCACAAGAAGGAGCTGGCCTTGTTATACTGACGTCACGGTGATCTATAACTGAGTGAGAGTCAGTGGACATGGTGGGGCCACAGACCCTGAGCCCCACCTCCCACTGAGGTGTGCAGTTCCTCCAGCATCTCCCATTTCAGGTGCACACATGGGCCCCGCTGTAGGGCTCCTCAGTCAAGGAGCCGTCCTGCTGCCAGTCCTGTGAGCTTCCCTTTGGTTCACATCATCTTCCCAGGCAGAGAAAACTCTCAGGAGTCCAGGGGAGAATTGCCAATGGGGATGCTTTATCCTCAAGTCATTTGTCCATTCCTTAAGGAGTTACCTTTGCAGAGGCCACAGCTTGAGTCTCCTTCAAATACGTGAAGATGCCTTCGTGTCCTCTCCAACTGCTCCCTTCTCTAGGGGACCCTCCCTCACCCCTTCGGTTGGTGCTGCTGGGAGGCTGCCTCAAGGGCCCTCATCTTCCCCACCATCCTTCCCAGCAGTGGCTCTGCCTTCTCAACGTCCCTTCTCAACGTGGCCCCCTACATCTGGACACAGAACTCTGGACTTGTCCCATTCTATTCTGTTTTTCACATCAATCTAAAAGTAAAAGCCACCCTTATGCCTTTCCTCTGGCTGCCAACAGATCTCCTGATAAGCTTTTCAGCTGAAGGGGAAAACAAAGGCTGATTGTAGCAGACCCCTCAGTTTTTGGTTTGGGACCAGACCTGTGACTTCATCAACATGGGGAACTCCCTTTGGTAATCTGTTCTACATCTCAGACTCTGGTGCAGTGACTTATCAAGGGTCACACCGCCCTGTGTGTCCGGGGCAAGATTCAGCTCAGGCCTTCCTGACTCTGAGGCCAACTTTCTGACTACTACATCATGATGGCTCTACCAGATGTCAGGGAAAAAAATCAATCGAGTTCAACAATCAGTTTTTTTATTGAACTAAAGTGTGTGTGTGTGTGTGTGTGTGTGTGTGTGTGTGTGTGTGTACAGTCTTAAAGCTCTCCTGTGTCAGCTTGGGAAAGGAATCTCTCATGGCTGGGTCTCATTTTCCTCCTCTGGGTCTCTCTGGTTCCTTCCAGCTCCAAATATGTGTTTCTACGATCTATAATATTCAAGTTTGAAGGGTAAAGCTTTTTACCCCATGCTGAAGCCCTCCCAAGTGACTCAAAAAGGAAAACCATCCTCGCCTATCCCGCTTCCCTTCTTGCTCTCCTTTGCCCTGACGACAGACATGTGCACCCAGAACACCTTTCATCTTTCAGGTGTCAGTCCAAGAGGCCTGACTGGCTGCTCCCGACGAACGGCCCCCACTTTCAGCAGCTTCCTGATCATCTGCACAGCCAGCGGGTCTCCTGGGGATGCGTGCACATGGCTGAAGAACCTGCCTGGCTCCTCTTCTGCTGAACGAATGTAGATGCACCATGAGATACATCTGCTGGTCAGTGGCATCTCTTCTCCTTTGGCCTTGGAGCTGTAACACTCAGTTACTGTCGACAACTTCTGACATTGGAGAGGAAGCCTCAGAAACTGTCAAACTAGATAAAATGCAGGAGAAATGTGTAGTGGACAGAGAGCCATTCTTACAAATCCCATACTTACAAAGCACACCAAGGAGCACTAAGCCTTGAGGACTGTGAAGAAACGTGATTCAGATTTGTATGGGGCCCATAAGTAGAAAATGCCAATTTAACAAGCGGAGGGGTTCACAACACTGTGCAGTCCTTAGCAGGCTTCTGTCAGGCAGATCGACGTGGTTTATAGACTGGTTGTGCATGCCTAATGCAGTATGATACATTACAGTTAAGACAGGACAAGTAGTTAAATCGTGATAGCAAACTTCTCTGTGAATTTCCTCATTTTTATTGCTTTCTGACATACCAGTGCACTCTTTAAAATCCCATGTGTGAGGGGAATTCTAAGAGTACGCTTTTATTGAAATTTATTTTCTGCACATTTCATAAATCGGTGAGTTTCCATTTTGAATGCTTAATAAATCAGCAAAGCATTGTTTGGAGCCCAAATTGGGTGACATGTTCCCATTGAACGATTCCCCCACTTTTGAACACATTTAAATTGTAAATGTAAGTATAGTTCTAAACATTTACAGCCCCAAAGGGAGAAGCGAGCCTCTCACTCCCAGGCAGGGAGACCCTAGCCCGATGCTACAGAGCCACCTAGTGGAACTAAACTGCCAACACCAGCGGGAGGCCATGGCTGGAATTACCATCCAGCACCGACCACTGAGCAGCTTTTCACAAGAAACTAGATATGGGGCTCCCCTGCTATCAACATGCCCATAAATCTTTTCTTACGCACTCACTGCTGTTCTAGAAGGGTGGACAATTCTTCCCTGCGTAAGGCAAAAGCGACTCAGTTGCCCCAGGCCTGGGGTCCTGCCCTAGGAACCCAGAAGGCGGAGGTGCCCACATCCATGTCCCCATGCCCTGGCTCCCTCACTTGCTGCCCGCGGCAACTGAGTAACTATGGACGCTCCCAGTAACGAGGCAGACAGAGCGACCGAAACCTGCTGCTGAGCCAGGTGGCCAACCGGGCAGTGCTGCGCCTTCCCATGAACCTGCGGGTCCGTGGCTGAGGCCCGTGCAGACAAGCCAAAAGGTACGGGCAGATAAAGACCATAAGTCGCTGGAAGGTCACTTGCTGTTGGCAAAGCATTTTGTTATTTTCACGGCCATTTGTTTTACCTGGGGACAGAGAATAAAGCACTTGAAATCATATCAGTGAGGCATTCTGGGGCCCGGAGCATGGCAGACATGTTAACAGATAGATAATCGGCAGGGGTAGCTCTCTACTTCCTGGATTCATGCATGAACGGCATCTTACATTTCTTGGGCAATGAGATGCGACAGGTCATGTGCTCCCAGGGACGCCGGGGGAGGGCCTGCTCTCCTGTGTGAAAACCTGTGCCTCAAATCTCACTTTTGCCAGTGTTCTTGCCTACCTCAAGGAAATACTGCATAGACGATAAAAACAGGCTTCCCGGAAGCCAAACACTGCGACTATTCCATAACTGCAATATCATTCCCATTGCCCAAGGTTCCTTTTTTCACTCTGAGCCCAATTGCTCCTGACTGCTCTAGTTCTGAAGGGCACCGTAATGTGCCCTCTTTGCAGGGAAGAAAACTCTTCGTTAGTCATTTCTCTGGGTGTGGAAGGGAGCCAGGAAAGCAAATGCTCATTCTTACATAAACGTAGCAAGGGTTTCTCCTTGTGGCTTCCTTCCACTGTGGCCTCTCATCTGAGGTTTAGAAAATAAAACAATTCTATCTACTAAAGAAACAACCAGAAGGCAGATTGTGCTGGGGCCATGAGGTAACTTCCTTCTCTGAGCAGGTGAAGCACCCTCCAGACGGCGCGTTGTATAAAACCCTGACACCATTTTGCCCAAAGTGTAATGGCTTCACATCGGCAGCAAGAGGTCCTCCTTGAAATGATGGGGAAATACAACCCTTGCCGTTAAATTAATTCTTGTAGCAAAGACTCATGAGTGCCCTATTGTTACTATGGTATGGTGGTATGAATGGGGAAAGGCCCCCTAGTGGAAATTCTGTTCAGAAGGAATTCTCTGCTTTCCCAGAGCAGAGGGCTGATAAGCCAGCTCACACGCTACCGAGCTAAGATGGATGGGGGACCTTCAACACCATCGCATTCAGCCCTTAAATTGGCAGATGAAGGAACGAGGCCCACAGCGGGGAAAGCACTAGCCCAAGGTCACACAGGTTCACTTCCATACTGGCCTGGAGAACCAGGAAAACGTGTCAACTGCTTAAGCAAACGATCTGCTTGGAAGTGGCCCTTCCCCCCCTGGAGAGGCCCCTCACGTGGCATCCCTGGGGAGGCTTCCCAGATACCTTGTAAGTCGACCCGTCCGCGGAGTGCAGCACCCCGTGGCCCTGTCGCTGGTCCAGAATCCAGTCTCCTTCATATTTATCGCCATTGCTAAATCACAGAAAGAGAGGAATCAGGCTGGAGGCAAGGGGCTGACCAGTTGGTTAGACAGAACGTTCTGCTGGCCCAGGCCTTTCCCCCTAGTCACCTGCTGTTGGGTGGCACATGGTTCCCTCACGAACATGGAATCCTGCACAAGACGAGTTGATGGGTCTCCCAACAAGATTTTGGCACTCGCCTTGGGAAGTGGGAGACCAGCTGACAGGGAGTGATTCAGATTGATTCCTGTGACTAGTGCTCAAGACTTTTCCACCAGCTACTGAAGCAAAAATAGATACCGCACAGATGGCTCTTCATGAAATCCTACCTTTTGCCTCGTCCCTGATTTTGGAAGGCCCACAAAAAGGAAAAGTCCTGATAACCTTGCTGCTAAGTCACTCACAGGAGAGGCTGTGACTCTTCAGACAAAGGCTGGGACTGGCCTGCTTATGGTACAGGAAGATCAATATTTCCCTAACTCTTGGGAGGTCACCAACATTCTTCATTTCCATCAATGCAGACTGTTTTATTCTGTTGAAAAGGTATGGTGTTGACAAGTTCCAATAAAAAAGAATGCAGAATAAAAAGGAAAAGGTGGTTCCATATTTCTCAGTAGATTAGCTAGTTTTTCCTACATATAAGGATGCCACAAGCAGAATTTTGCATACGAGAATCTGCCTTAAAAATTTGTTTTAAATATGTTTAAAACATATAACATTATGCCTTGCTTTTGAAAGGAGAAAGCCCATATATTGCCAGAGAATGTCATCTTTCAAATTGCTTACAAGCTTTTCCTGTATAATCTACACAGATATTGAGCGATCTTGAGACTATTATCAAAATAGATACTCTTCTAGGATAAGGTGGCAAGGTTTGGGGAGGGTGGGAAGAGGCAAGAGGTTTTATTTTTTTTGTTAAAAAAAAGGTTATATGTTTTTTCTTATTAAACAAGCATGGTGATAATTGATTTTAACAAATAAATGAGCAGTTTTAAAATGTATTTTAACTAGCATATGAGTGTTATAAAAGGGAGTCAAAACTATGGCTAAAAGCATTCTTCAAGATATGTGATTCTACACACACAGAGACACACACACACGCATCTCTATGAAATATGTCTAAAGTGTTCAATGAATCTATTAAGTACAGGTAGAAGAAAATGCACAAGAGGAAGCCTGGGCTTTGTGAATTTCTTTTTGGACTTGACATGATATTTCATTAGGAGACGAACCATTTTCTTAGGGATCATGAGTCAATCAGACTTACTTGAAGGTCGTCTGTCCCACACCATGCTTTTTATTTTCATGAAACGAGCCTTCGTAAACTTGTCCATTTTTATCAATGAGGGACCCATGCCCTAAAGAAAAGGGAAAAAAAAATTCATGCCTTATGGCCATGATAAAGCTGTGTGAGCTTTAGCCAAGGAGGTTTTTATTGTTGTTTTTTAACGACAGACGAAATCTTCATTTTGAAACAAGGACTAGGATGCTTTAGTTTGGATGGCCCATTTAATGGGTTTTCACCCGAAGGGCCCAGTAAAAATCTCAGGAGAGCATGACCACCTCAAAGCTTTCTGCTGTTTTCAGGTGGCTCTGAAGGGCCTGGAAACGTCATGGCAATATTTCCATTGTTGCTTCTCCTTTCTGACAAAATAAAAAAGTGAAGCACCATAGACAGCTGGATTAACTTTTGACCAAAACTACGAAAATCATAGTTTCTGAACAACTTTCAGTAACAATAACCAAAGTACCCTTCTAGCAGTTTTTATGAGGAGTAGGGATCTGGGTCTACTTTAGGAATTTTTTTTTGTTTTTTGTTTTTTTGGTGAGGCAACTGGGGTTAAGTGACTTGCCCAGGGTCACACAGCTAGTATCAAGTGTCTGAGGCCACATTTGAACTCAGATCCTCCAGACTCCAAGGCAGGAGCTCTATCCACTGTGCCACCTAGCTGCCCCTACTGTGCCACCTAGCTGCGCCAGGAATTTTTTATGAAGTATCGATACACATCCTATTTTGCCCAGTTTTCTCATCTGTAAAAGGAGGTGCCATTGAACATTCTGTGACTTTAGAATCTGAGGGTTTATCTGTGATTTCTTGAATTTCAGAATCGGTAATACTTTTAGTTTAAATCAGTTATTAAGTAGCTGAAAGTGATAAACATTTGGATTTAACTTGGCATCTTTGAAAAACAGGCAATCACTTGGAGGTGTAAATTAATGGAATGGAATGAGAAGCAGATCAATGGAGGGACCACCCATATCACTGAGATATTGGGGTCTTCATATACTGGAGTCAGACTCAGGGATCAGATCACAGGATGTGGGCCCTAGTGAGTTATAAGGAGAGGTTTTTTTCTTTTCTCTTCTGTGTTGGAAGATATCAACAGGTATCTCTAGACGTAAATAATGAAGAGCAAGTTCAATCAGTTCACAAGCATTTATTAGGCACTTATTGTATGCTTGGTACTGTGCTATGCAGCTGGAGACACAAAAAAGGCAAATACAGATAGATATAGATATATGTGGAGATACACAGAGATATCTATATATGGATATATCTATATCTATATGTCCTTATCTCCCTGCCCTCAAGGAGCTCATGTTTTAATGAAGAAGATCACAGGCTAATAAATAGGTGTATATACACTATACGCAGAGTACACAGAAGGCACTTGGGATGGAAAGCATTAGCTGTGAGGAGAGGCCTTGTACAGAAGGTAGGATTTGAGCTGAATACCAAAGGAGGCCAGGGAAGCTAAGAGGCTGATGTGAGGGACAGGCGTTGCAAAGGTGGGGAGACTGAAGATGGTGAATGGTGCACAAGGAACCGTCGGAGGGCCTGCTCTGAGATGGCAACAAGGCCAGGGCAGCTGGGAGGCAGAGGACGTGAAGGAGAGATGAGGAAAAGGAGGATGGAAAGACAGAAAGGGGCAGAATTGTGAAGAGCTTTCAAGCTCAAGCAAAGGGGCTGGTATTTGATCCTGGAGGTGATAGGGAGCCATTGAGGAGCAGTGGCACTGAGATGGTCAGGCCACACTTTAGAAAAATCGGCTGAACAGAGGATGGACCAGAGTGGGCAAAGATAGAAGGCCAGGAGACCAGGGAGAAGGCTAGTCTAATAGTCTGGGTGAGGGATGGTAAGAGTGTGAACCAGGGTTGTGGCTGTCTGAGTGGAGACAGGTTGGGGGATCTATACAAGAGATGTGGGAGAGGTAGAAATGATGATATTTAGCAACTGTTTGGTATGTGTAACGAGAACTTGGAGCCAAGATAATTATAAGAACAACAATACTAGCATTTATCTAGTGCTTTAAAGTTAGCAAAGCATTTTACAAACATTTTCTCATTTGATCCTCACCACAACTCTGGAAGGTATGTGCCATTATTATGCCCATTTTTCAGATGAGGAAAATGAGACTAAGAGAGATAAGTGACTTTGCCTGGGGTCCCACAGCCAGTAACTCTCTGAGGTCAGATTTGAACTCAGGTCTTCCTGATACCAAGCCCAGAGCTCTAGCCACTGTACCAGCGAGATACACAACAAGGTTATGAGTCTTGATGACTGGCTGGTTGGTGCCACCTTTGACAATTTCAGGGAGATTATGAAAAGAAGACTTATGGGGAAAGAGAACGAGTTCTGTTTTAGACATGCTGAGTTTGAGCTGCCCCAAGGACGGCCAGTTCAAGAGTTCAAGACGTTCAAAAGGTAGTTGGTACTGTGGAACTATAGCCCAGGAGAGAGCCTAGAGAGATAGATAGATATGGATATAGACAGATTTAAAATATGTATATGTATATGTATATGCACACACATATGTATATATATAATCTGCTTTCTCCTGAAATATGTGTTATATATATCTTTATTTATAGATACCTATCTATATCTGTATAATCTATATATCTTCACCTATAGATGTATAGATATAGATGGCAAATACATAGTGACATGTATAACATGTAACAAAATATATTATGTCTATATAATGATATCTATCCATCCATCTATCTACGAATCATCTGCATAGAGATGATAATAGAACCCATGAGAACTGGTGAGACCACCAATTGAGATAGGACAGAGAAGAAGAACCAGCACAGAGCCTTGAGGACTCCCACCAGTAAGCATAGTGACCTAGATAAAGAACCAGCAGAGAAGACAAAGAAGGACCAGCTGGACAGATGGGAGGAGACCCAGGAGAGAGCAGGGTGATAACAAACTGGAGTATCCGGGAGAAAGGGGTGATCCAGAGTGTCCACTACAGAAGGGTAGGCCAAAGAAAATGAGAAATAGGAAAGGCTAAAAGAAAAATGAGGAAAAGAGCCGGTCTTCTTGGGCAAAGGAAAACAGGTCATCATTGCCTTTCAGCCAGAGACTCTTAACTGGATCCTAGATTTTTGTAAATTCTTATTAAAAATTTTATCGTTGTGACATCCAGAGTTTTTTGGTGTCTTTCACAATGAACAAGATTCTTTCTCTTTCATATTTGGTTATATCTCTTTTATCTTCAACCTACAACCTATCAGAAGGGGAAGTTTTGAGTATTTTATCAGAACATGGTCACTGGAAACTCAATGAACTACATAGGACTCATTGGGATCAGTGACCTTCAGAATAAGGCATTAAACGCAAAGGTACAAGAAGAAACAGAATCTATAGGAATATTGTTAGATATTGGGAGAGAAGCTGAAAAATGTATCTTTTTGCAAAGATTATGCTTTAGAAATTTTTGATCTGAGCAAAGGATACTTAAGATGACACTTAGATTTGTATTTAAAATCAAATATGCCTGGACTTACAGGAGCTATGGAAGTGATGATGGGTGAAATGTCATTATGGATAGAGGGACAGTCTTGGAATAACAAAGACCTGGGTTCAAGTCTGCCTCAAACATATCGCTATATGCAAGTCACTTAATAGTTCAGCCTCCCAGGAAACTCTCCAAGACCAGGACATAGAGGAGTGACCAATCCGCACACGTGGAAGGATTCTCCACACCAGGAGGTTCCCCATATTGACAAAACCCCAGGCACAAGCCAAACACAAAAAACCAAAACAACAGAGTCTGTCGTTCATTCATTCACTGCCCTCTATTTATCAAGCAAGTATTTTAGAGTGCTCTCATACTGTCTCCAGATCCGATCTAAGTGGAGGCTGAATCAGTCTCAGTTCCATTCCTATGGCTTTGGGCAACACCAGAGGTGGGCATAAATTGATCCAAACTGTCTCATGGATATCGAGATAGGAAAAGACTCCAATCTGTCTCACTGTGTTTCCAAAGTCTGAACCTGCAAGTCACAGCTGAGGAAGTCTTCTAGAGGCAGCCGTGCTCTGACCAGATTTTGTCCAAAAAAGCCAGAAATCTTTGGGGATGGAGGACATCAAAACATTTACTTGAGGCCAGAGCTGGCAATGAGCATTTTCTAGATAATTATAAATAATGGTTAATTGTGCTTAAACAAAAATATACCTTCTCTCACTCCATGGGAAAATTCCCCTTCATATTTTCCATCTTTGTACTTCATTATTCCGTGCCCTTGAAGTTCCCCTAAAACAAACTGCCCAGAATAAGTGTTTCCTGGAACCAGATAAAAGAGAAAGGAAAAAGGTATTTTCAGATGCATCAATGGGTTTTTTTTAATTTTTGTTTTTAATGTCCCAGGTGCTGTAACAACGAGGTTCCTGCCTGTAGAACAACAGTGACCAACATTGCACTGTTGGAATGAATCACTGCTGTCTCTCTCTCTCTCTCTCTCTCTCTTCTCTCTCTCTCTCTCTCTCTCTCTTCTCTCTCTCTCTCTCTCTTAAAAATCACCTACTCTGTGTAATGAACAAGGGAACAGGGTCATTAGATCTTTATTTTAAAACTAATGAATGATAATCCATGTTCCCTGAGGCTGGGAAAACGAAAGGCCCTTAAAAGATATTAGTTCTAAGACTCAAAGAAACATTGCTGAATCCTTCTGTGGTTAGTGTAGGAAGTACTTCAATGTCGTGTTTCCTTTAGCCCCCTTTGAGTGGTGTGTGTGCATGTGTGCATGTGTGTGTGCGTGCATGCGTGTGTGTGTGCAGTCCCTTTCATTTTCTGCATCTATGCCTAGAAACGTGAAGTGTGGCTATGGATTGACCGCTCTCGGCCTGAAGGCATGGTACGGATCCAAATCACTCACAGAATACCTGATCTGCTCTGTATTTGTTAGGGAACAGAAATCAGAACTCCAGCAGATGATGCTCTCGTAAGAGTTTGTACCAAATTCTTTAACAATTTTTTATTAAATCCAGCAAACCCAGACAACCCTGAAAACTCATTTTCTGCTAGGGTTCCTGATTGTACAGAGGTAATGTTCCTGATTACAATATAAAGCTGATGCCATTAGAGTTTTCTGTTCTTTCTCCCTCACTTCCCTACAGATGAAATGTGTCTTTAATAACTTAAAAGAAAAGGGGAGGGGGGAGGAAAGAATAGTTAACTGTTCTTTCTCCTCACCACAAAGTGAGCTAGGGAAATCCAATTTGCCAACAGAACTATGAGCTCTTGTATCTGAAGACACTCAGTAGAGTCTTATTGAGCTGAGTGGACTCAAACAGCATGTCAGGGTCTCCACACTCTTAGTTCCTAGAGTATTTACTGAACTTCTCAAGAGTTTTTGCCACTGTATGCATGGAGTTCCCTGTATAATACAGACGCTGTACGTGATCTTTCATCTCAAGTTACAGATAGAAAATCCTTCCTGGGCCCTTCAAAAGCTGGGGATCCATTGACAATACAGATGTTTTATGAAAATTAGCAAACAGAACCCACTTCAAAGAAAGCTGACCTGATGATGCCCAGTGACACTGTCCCCTTCCTATGATCTCACCATCCACAAATTCGCCTTCATAGTAACTTCCATCCTTAAATAACAATTTTCCATGACCTAATGAAATGATAATAATATTTCACATTTATTTAGTATTTTTAAGGTTTGCAAAGTGATTCACATATATCATTGTAATTCAGGTTCCAACTTAGTACAATATGAAAACCTTTTACCTATAATAATAAATCTTCAAGTTGGTAAATACTCAGGTTTCAGAGCTGGGAACCTGGCCTTCAGTTTTGGTGGTTCTTTTATCTAGGCCCACCACACAAAGTCATCATGTGACCTTTGAAAGTCACTTGGAATACAGAGCAGTCTGCAGAGAACACGGCTGTCCAGATACTTCCACAATGCTAACCAAAATATTACTAAGCATTTTGATATTGTTGTGTCTCAGTCAAATGTGTGTGATGATGATAAAGGCATTAAAATGCAATGAACATTTAGCTTAGCATTCTTCAAGAATCTTGAGGGTCCTTCTAGAAATGCCCTCAGAATATATATTTGATAATCATTATCTCTTAGTACAAGAACAAAATGAAAGTATGTTCAGTAGCCACAGTAATATTACAGAATAAGTAAAGAAAAAATGACTTAAAAGAAGTCCTTCATCCAGGTAAAGCTTTGAGAAAACAAACCATGGGACAAGATAGGCAAATTGAAACTGAGCAGAAACGGTGATATTCCACACCATCTCAGAAAGGACACGACATAGGTCCGATTCATCAAAAAGAATGTCGATGACTAAACATCTGGCAAACGTCTCCTATGGACTCTGTATATAAGTCTCTCATTTTCCAGCTCCCTGGGCTGCCATTCGAGGGGATGGCTGCAAAACCCAGAAGTTGCCAGCATTTTAGAAGATTGAGCCAACATTTTAAAAGCCACTTTTTCATTTTCCTTAGACGATGAACCAGTTTTCATTCTCTGTTGACAATGGCTGCATCTCATGTTCTTACCATGCTTCTTCCCATCTTTCCATTCTCCTTCATATCGAAAGAAAGTATTTTGGTACAGATAGTGCCCATAACCTGAGGACAGAAGAGAGGCCAGATGTATTTCCATGTAGCTCAATGAGCATCTATCACATACTTAGGGTGTGCTAGGCACTGTACCTAGGCTGGGTCCTTGCCCTCGAGTTTACATTCTATTGATTGCATTTCCTTTCTCCCCTCTGCCTTTGGTGCTCTGTCCCTCCCAGATACGCTGATCACTTGGAATCTCATCACCATGCTGCAGCTCTAACCTTGGACACCCCACTCTGGCAGCCTCCTTCCCCTCCTTGTTGCAGGCCCAAACTCCTCCCAAAGCTTTCCTTCACAGAGGATAGAGGTTGGACTTCCAGCACACTTCACCCTCCCTCTGTATCCTCTGCCTGGTTTCGACTCTACGGAACAAGATTCCCCGCACCCTGGGGTGCCCTCTCCCCTTCCAGCTTCCTTTTGGATGTTGTCTTTTCCCATTAAATTGTTAGCTAAGCACTGTGCCTGGCACAGAAACAGTGCTTAGTAAATAGTTACTGAATTGGATTGAATCTCGGTTCTCATTCTGCCTGCTCGCCTGTTCCCTCTCAGATCTCCTTTGCTGATCCGCGTGTGTCCTCTCAATGTGAGCGCACCCCCAAAGCTCTGTCCCGGATCTCTTACTTTGCTCTCTACACTCTCTTTACATAACCCCATCAGTTCTCACAGGTTCGATTATCGTCTCTATGTTACATCTTCCAGACTCATACATTTAGCCCTCGTGCCCTCGTCTGGGGCAGCGAGGGGGTGCCATAGTACACAGAGCACCTGGCCTAGAGTTGGAAAGACTCATCTTCTTGTGTTCAAATCTGGCCTCAGACACTTCCTAGCTGTGCGACCCTGGGCAAGTCACTTAATCCTGTGTGTCTCAGTTTCCTCATCTGTCAAATGAGCTGGAGAAGGAAACGGTAAATGATGCCAGCATCTTTGCCAAGAAAACCCCCAATGGGGTTGGGAGGAGACGAACACAACTCAACAACAAACTGAGGCAAGCAGGGATAAGTGCCCTGCCCAGCTCACTTACTTAGCTGTGAGTGTCTCAGGTCAGATTTGAATTCACCAAGTTGAGTCTTCCCGACTCCAGATCGGAAGCTCTACCCACTGAGCCACCCAGCTGCCCCCCCATCTCTAACCAGCTCCAAACCATGTTGCTTCCATCTACTCCAGCTTTCCTTCCCCTCTTCTTCCCCTGAGAAACTGGGCGCCACCCTGGGTAGAAGACTACCTAATCAAGCAACAAGAATTTAAGTGCCTATTATGTCCTCAGACATTTCCTAGCTCAGTGACCCTGGGCAAGTCACTTCACCCTGTCAGCCTCAGTTTCCTCATCTGTAAAATGATATGGAGAAGGAAATGGCAAACCACTCCAGCATCTCTGCTAAGAAAGCCCTAAGTGGGATCACGGAACAGCTGGATAGGACTGAAAAGCAACGAAATAACCAAACAAGCCCTAGTCTCTCTCCTGAGCTCCACTTCCCACACTGCCAACTTTCTAGAGGATATTTCAAACTGGTTTGAACTCAACACGTCTAAAACACAATTCATTGTCTCCCTCCAACCAACCCCTCCTCCCTATCCCTGGTGTCCCTGCCCCCCTGTGCTACTGGATTTTACTATTGGTCAGGTCTAGCGCCATCCCGCGGGTCTCCCAGGTTTGCAGCCTTAGATTTGTATAGAATCTTCCTCCTCACTCACCTCACTCATATCCAGGCAACTGTCAAATCTTGTTTCCCCCTCTCACAGAGTCAATTACACGTAAATGTTTGTCAAATTAAACATCCGAAAGGAAGAAAGCACCGGGAGGAGGCTACGGCAGGAAGCTACCAAAGCTCCTTCTCTAGGGGGGGCTATCTCTATCTTTACATTGTCACCTAAAACCTTCAGTGACCATACAAAAACATGCTCCAAATCACTAAAAATAAGAGAAATTAAATTTCTTTCAAATTAAAGCAATTCAGATGTTCTACTTTGCCCTTTCGATTAACAAAGGTAATGAAAATGGAAAATGATGATTTGTTGGAGGATCTGTGAGAGGACAGGCATGCTCATGCAATGTTCACATTGCCGTGAAGTGGTCAAACAATTCTGGAAAACAATTCAGAACCGTAACTGGAAAGTCTCTAAACTATGCCTACCCTTCTGACCTAGCTATACTGCTACTAGGCATATACCCAAAGAGATCAAAGACACGATGAAAGGAACCAGATGTACAAAGATGCTTCTAGAAATACTACTGGTTATAGAAAACAACTAGGAACAAAGTGGATTCCCATCCATTAAGAAATGATTAAACCAAACGTGGTAGAGAAATATTACAGAATATTAATGGGCTGTAAGAAATGACAAATGAGTTGGATTCAGAGAAACCTGGAAAGACTTCAGTAAGCGGAACCATAGCATGTGAGGAATACAACATTGTGAAGGAAAATCCTTTGGAAAACTAAAGAAATCTGATCAACACAATGACCAGTCCTAACTCCACACGAGAGAAAAAGAAGCCCGCGTCGCCCTTCTAGGCAGGGCGGTATAGTGTGGGTGTAAATGAGACACGTAGCTCCAGACACGGCCAGTGGAGGATTGATTGATTTTGGTTAGCTGCCCTTGGTTGTTACAAAGGAGGGATTTAATTTGTGGAGTGGGGAGTCTGAAAGGGAAGAGAGAGTTAGTAAAAGGGATGAAAAAAAGAAAGAATATATCTCAGGCGCTGGGGTTACTTTCCCAAATCCCCATTCATAGTGGCAATCTAGGTCCCCTCCAAGGGCAGCTGGCTAGTTCACCCCTCAGGATTCAAGGGGTAACTCTAAAGGGTGAGGGATGATTTTTTAGCATTGTAGCTCATGTACATCTCAACATGAGGATCCTATTCCTAACAGGCATAAAGCCTGCTGACCAGAGTGAAGGGATTAGGAATAGGACAAACTTCTTAGCTCACAAGATCCCAACAATGTGCTTCTCTTCAATGACTTTCAATTGATGTGAATTAGCCAACCAGACTTAATCAGTCTTTAGGAGTGGGTATTGATTAAGGCAGCATAGTAAGAACTACAGCCGAGTGTCAAACCTGCCACTCCAGTTGGGGACATACTCTCCCACAAGGTTACTCAGACTCCTGGGGACAGTGGGCTCAAACTCAGAGCAGGGCATCACTTACGGCTCCTGGAAGGCCTTCCCTTCCCTTCATGGTACACTTAAGAAGTTTCCCATGGACATGGCATAGTTCTCTCCCGGCCTCCTAGTGGAGTCCTGAAGCTGCAAGGTTGTATGGGAATAGAGTTCCTGCTTCTTGCTTTAGCTTCTGACAGCACAGAAAGCAGATGACACAGCTTGACCTCACCTGGGATTCAAACCTTAGTTATTGTCGAATTGATGAGTTTTGCATATAACTGCTGTTTTGCCTTGTGATTTCAGGTTGAATTAAGACACATTATCAAGTTGGCGATAAAAGCTAATTTCCAAAGCCATTCAGTGTTTGGTGACAGTGTTTCGTGGGGGTCCTTCTTGTTCAGAAAAATTTCCATCTTGGCCCTGAGCTCAGAAAAATTGCAATGAAACTGTTTTTTCTTCTTTTCTTCTTTTGACATGATGGAAATACACAGGTGATTAAAAAATAATAATATCACAGTATGCATGACACCCAAAACATTGCCAAGTTATAATGGCATCACTGTAATTTGTAATACATGTATGGTGGGAGGCGGCAAGAGCACCACCTCACAGTCTGTACTATTGAAAGTAGCATGAAAAGCAGCCAGAGACAACAGGTACATGGATGAGCTCCAATAAAACTTTATTTACAGACGCTGAAATCCGAATTTCATATAATTTTCATATGTCATGAAATCTTCTTTTGATTTTTTTCAACCATTTAAAAATGTAAAGAATATTTTCAGCCCATAGGCCATACACAAACAGGTGGTGGGCTGGATTTGGCCCATGGACTACAGAGTTTGCCAACCCTTGCTCTAGACTTGGAGAAGATGTTCAACTTAAAAATGCATTGTCCATACATTTTTTTTTTCAGAGAGCTGGTTGTTAAGCCTTTACTAGCCTGCATCACCGCGCCCACTTCACCCAAAAGTGTAACAGGGGCAGAGCACAGCCCTGGCACAAAGCCTCAATTCCAGAACTGAAGCTAAGAGAGAGAAGTAAATCAATGAACACATTGTAATTCCAAGCTCCCCCAAAAGGAGAAAGTACATAACATTTTAAAGCAGAAACTCACAGGCGGAAAAAGTGGTTTTTACACAAGGACTTCATGAACACCTAGTAGAAATAAAGAAGAGGTTTAAGATGAAATAAAAACTGGAGAAAAGAACTGGAAGGAAAATAAATAGCTTAGGAGAAAAAGTGTATGCCTTCCTCAAGAAATGGTCTACCTGGAATCTAGAATATACCAAGCAGAACACCAATGACTCCGCATGACAGCAAGAAATATTAAAACAAAATAAAAAGATTGAAAAAGATAGATGAAAAAGCCAGACACCCAATATAAAAAACTACAGACCTGAAGGACATCCAAGTCAAAAAGGTAACAAGGAAAGATAGGGGAAGAGGGGAAGGGTGAGAATAAGAGGGAGGATACTATTGGAAAGAGAAGAGTCATAAGCAAAACAAACTTCCTGATTTCAAAATGGAGATTGGAAGGGGAGAAGAGAAGAGCAAAGAATTAGAATCTAATAGGGTCCCTTAGATTGCCTCATAGACAATTGGGAAATGGTTAAACAAGTTGTGGTAATAACAGAATGGGAAGAGTATTGTGCCACAAGGTCTGACATAGGAGACAATTTCAGAGACTCCTAGGTAGTATGATCTGATGCAGATCAAGGAAAAACAATTTATACCAGGGCATTAAAATAGGAAATAAAGATAACTTTGAAGGACTTAAGAACTGTGATCAATGCAATGACAAATCTCATCTCCAGAGGACCTACGATGAAGCACGTTACCCCTCACTAATAGGTGATGAAAACCAGATACAGAAAGAGAACTGTTTTTGGACATGGCTACCATGTGGGTTCATCTTGCTTGGCTCTATTACAAGATTTTATTTTTTCTTTCATTCTTCCTCTTGGTTTTTAATGGGGGGGAGGATGGAGTTAGAAATCACGATGGCAAAAAAGAAAAGGGGTAATTATGACATTTTTTAAATTAATAGAAAAGAACTGAAGGAAGCATAGACAAAAGCAAAATAGTTCTGAAAGTGGCATGTTCAATATATCACAATTATTTATCACAATTATTATAATTTGTGTATTAATTATATTACAGAATACAGTGTCATAATTATAGTATATTATGTCACATTGAAATAATTATTGTAACAATATTGTTATAATGCTATGTCATATAATATTGATTATAATATAATATAATTATAATATAACATAATATTATAATAATTATAATTTTTTAAAGCGAGTAGTATGAAATGGATATTCATGGTTTCATGTAGGATTTTCTTTTTGTGTTCTGTTATATTCATGGAAATGCTTTTTTTGTGTGTGTGTTTAAGTTCAGAATTTTTAAAAAACCCCAAAACCAAATTTTATACTTTTTAAGAATCTATACATAATAGAAATTCACAACTTCAAACAGAATCGTTTTTCTATCCTTTGTATTTTGAAATGTTTGTGCTTGTTAATGTTTGTCAAGGTCATAAGGAACAAAAAAGAAAATTTGAAAAAGAAAAACTGAATATAAGACCGCTAAGGGTAGGCAGGAAGATGAGACCCAGCCTTAGCCACACTTTGTTTTGACACAACATGTACTTCCTAACAAACCCCTTACAAAGTACGTTGTACTTTGGAGGGGAGGGAATAGATTATTGATTATTAACAAAAAAAGTCCTTTTTTGTCCCTCAGTTTTGACAATATGATACAAATATTGACCATTGTTTTTGACCAGTGTTTGGAGTTTTTTTTCTTGTTGTTCCATGATGACTTCATGTTGTTCATAAGTTCCCAAAGTGGGTGATACCGCCTCTTGGAGGGGTGCTTGTAAGATCCAAGGGGGTGGTAGTAGCCTCAAGTGCAATTGGGGGGCATTAAATAAAAAAAGAAGGAGGCGGTAGAAGCATAAGAAGAAAAGATAAGAAAATTTTGAAAAACCGTTTGTACATGTTTCATCTGTTGTGTAACACAGTTAAAGCCATAGTGATTATATTACTTTCCAAATAAATACACAAAATACAAGTTACAAGCAACCAGTGGTCAAGTCTGCCCACAGGTCTTAACAAGCAAGTGTTGGCAGGCCAGCACTATCAGGAAGTCCAGCATGCATTGGCAGGAATATGTGCATGTGATAACTTGGTTACAATATGATACCATATGGTTAAATGACACAATATTGCATCATCAAAATTTCAATGCAAGGAAAAAACCCCACAAATTTACAATAAATTATTAAATTTAAGATGTGCCATTTAAAAATATATATTTCATATTTTTTGAAATGACAATTTAAAAAAACCATTAAAGGGTTAAAGAAAGCAGATTTCCAGGGGGGCACTGGGTAATTTTTTTTTAAAGGGGATGGTAGGCCAAATAAATTTGGGAACTCCTCCTGCAGACTATCTTTTGGGGTCTCTTTTCTTTACTTTGTATTGTTGATCATACTTTATATCTTCTAAGGTTTCTTTCTCCTTTAATGATCCTGTGAACTTTATATATAAAGTAAAAGAAGAAAAGAAAAAAATAGGCTAGCAGCCCCATAATACACTAGGATGGACTCAGGTCAGCTGCCAAGCAGGGCTCTTTTGCTATTGTCACCCCCTGGGTGCTTTTTTTCCTCTTTACGGTCTGTAACCAACCTTGCCAGGCAGCACAAAGTTTATCCTTTCTACTACCAACACCCAAAGGAAGGGTGTAAAAGTTGGGGATGGGAATGGAGGTGCTCCTATGAGTCAGTTCAACATTCTCCTGTGGGAATTTGTAGGACTGGAATTCCCATTGATGGTGGTCAGGACCCTGTATCCTCCGCCCCCTTGACCAGACGAAAGGCCAGAAGATTTGAGGACTTTGCAAGGGTGTCCCTGGAACAGCAATGTTTCCATTGGGAGCAGGGGACACATTCCTAGACCCACGGAGGAAGGGCAGCTTCAGGACTCTACTGGGAGGCCAGGAGAAAGCCACACCGTGTCCAGGGGAAACTTCTTAAGTGTACCATGAGGGAAAGGACTTCCGGGAGCCACGAGTGACCCCCCAGTTCTGAGTCAGAGCCCATTCTCCCCAGGACTCCCTTGTGGAAGGGCGTCCCCAGTTTGAGTGGCATGCTCGATTCCGGATGAAGTTCTTACTATGCTCCCTTAGTCAATACCCATTCCTTAAGGCTAATTAAGTCTGATTGGCTAACTGATATCTACTGATAGTCACTGTTGGTCAACCGCACCTTGCTAAGCACCGCCTCTGCTGCCCTGAAGGAGCTCACAGTCTAATGGGGGAGACAAGGAATAACTAGCTAGGTACCCGGAGCATACAAAGGATGTAGAGAGGTTAATCCTGGAGGGCAGTCACTGGCAGCTGGGCATGGGCGGTAGGGAGACCCGTAAAAGGCCCTGCACAGAGAGGGGTTTGGGTTTCGTCTTGAAGGAAGGTGGGGGAGCCGAGAGGCAAGAGGGCTGAGATGGGAGATGCAGCACCAGAATTCGGGATCAGAGTCTGTCGGGGGGAGGTGAAAACGTAGGAAGGGCCCATGCGGACGAGAGTTCTAGGTGTCACCACGAGGACTTTATATTGGAGGGGTCTGCGGGCTAAAGGGGTACGGCTCGGGAGCTCCGAGGGGAGGGGTCTGAGGGCTAACGGGGTAGGGCTAGGGGGCTCTGAGGGGAGGGGTCTGGGAGCTATATGGGTAGAGCTCAGGGACTATGAGGGGAGGTATCTGGGCTCTGAGGGAAGGGGTCTGGGGTCCATGAAGGGGAGCGGTCTCAGGTCACAATTTGTCTGCCTGTCTGTCGGTCAGGCCCATCCACCCTTCCTCTGCCCGGACCCCGGGGGCCTCCCCCACACAGCCGTTACCGTCCCGCACCATCCTCCGCATCGAGCCCTGGTAAGGCGAGCGGGAGTCCTCAGGCTCCTTGCCAGCCGAGGCCATCTTGCCGGCCACAGTTTGCCTTAACAACCGCAGCCCCTTCTCCTATTGGGCCCTTGGTTGCTAGGGGCGTGGCTTCCGCCTCCACCTCCGGCGATGACCTATAGAGGAGGCGGAGGGTGAGGGGCCGGAAGACGAGAGGGAAGAAAAAAAAAAACAAAAACCTCCCTCAGGAAGCGCAGTGCGCCTGTGCGGCCCGCCCCTGGCTCCCTCTTCCTTTTTCCCCTGTCCCTGCCGGCGGCGACCGCTCCTGCAGGGCCCAACGCCTCGGCTGCCGGCGCCGGAAGCGGAACTCTCTGGTGCCCGACAGCCCCGCCTCCTGTGGGGTGCCATCTTGGATGCCCAGGAAGAGCGGCTGGGGGGCGGAAGTGCCGGGCGGCAGCCTCCCGAAGCCAACGAACCGGCGGCGGCAGGGCCGCTCCTCCTCCTCCTTCCCGTGGCCCTGAGGGGAGCCGTGGCCCGGCCGCAGCGGCGCAGCGAGGTGCGGGGTCGGGGCCAGGGGAGGCGGGGCCTAGCGCATGGCCGGGGCAGGAGCCCGGGGCCTGGCCGGGGCTGGGCGGCTGCGTGGCGGCGGGGCCGGGCTCGGGCCGAGGCCGGGGCCTAGTGCGGCGGCCCCTCCTCCTGCACCCCCCCCAGGAGCTGACAGCCCGCCCGGGGCGGAGCCGGAGGCTGCGGCTGGGCCTGCACCCCAGGGGGGGTCGGCGGCCGCGCCCCTCCCGGCCGGAGGATGCCGGGGTCGGGCCGGGAGCGGCGGCCTCTCCTCCGAGCCTGGGGGCGCGGCGGGCGGTGACCCGGGGCTGCGGAGGCCGCTGGGGCTGGACTGCCCTGCTCTCCCTACCAGACATTGTCTACATGTCTGTGACCACGTCCGAGTGTGCCCACGCTGAGCCCCGCGTGTCAGCGGTGGTGGGGCGTCCTGCAGGCGGAGGGAACGTGCACACTGGGTGTGCACATGCTGTGTGCAATGTGTCTGTGGACGTAGGTCAGCAGGGGCCTGTATACCGGGCAGTGTATGTGTGTACACTCTGCGGAGACTTGGAGTCATGTACATATGTGCACGCATGTAGTGTGTATGTGTGCGCATGTAGTCTGTGGAGACACACATGCACAGGATGCCTCCAAAGAACAGCCCTTAGCACAGTGCCGTGCACAGAGTAGGTGCTTAATAAATATTGATTGGTAATATACATACTATATATGATATGCACATACATATACATATTATATATGACATGCTAAGTAAACGTACTTGTGTCTATGTAGGCACACAGGGCTGAGATGATAATTAGGTCAGCTTGAGCCCAGCCTCCCAGGAGCTTCCGTGGATTTTGGATACTGGAAACAGTTGGGAACCTCATTTCATGTCTGGAGCACTTAATTGTTTTAATAGGCTACGTGAATTGTTGAGTTGCTTCAAAAAAAAAAAGAGGGGAAAACAGTTGTCCAAATAATATTGGAAAGATGTCTTAAAGAGATATGTCTGGTCGTTACTCAGTTAATTACAGCAGCAACGTCTGCAAAACCAAAGGTAGCACACTTCCATTTGTAGCTGTGTTGCTCCTAGTTGGAGCTTAATAATGTTTGGATTTTTTTGGATGATTGCGTTTTGGATAATTTCTTTTACTAACTTAGATTTTGGGTTTTGGATCGCTATAGCTGTTAACATAGCCTGCTTCCTAAATTTTGTGAAGACTTTATTGGCTTTATTTCTGTTAATTTCAAAATAGAGTAGACTTTCGGTATTGCTTGTATGTAAAGTTGTGATCCTTTCGCTGTTGGTTAAAGCAATTGCCCAAGAAGTGAAGACATCAGCTCAGCGTTTAAACCTTCTAATTAACCACTTGTTTTTTTCTTTGTTTTTAAGAACTGTTGTAACCTGTGTGTCAGACTAGAAATTGTCAGAATCACTTTTATTTCCAGGGCATATCTGAATTCCTCTATTATAATGTCTAGCCCATGGCCCATAGTTGCAAAACAAATAAGGAAATTGATTTATTCACTTGGGGAGCTAAAACTGATTGAAACAAGTGCTTGCTTTTACTAAGATTCTTTCCCCAAACTGTTTAAGTATCTTTGAAGTTGGACAATCCTGAAATTTTCCAGTTTAGTATGGTATATTAAATGATTTGAGACATTTGTTGGTAGTATTTTGAAACTAGCCTTATTTTTTTTCTTAGCCACTTTCTATAGCCACTGCACTGAAATTATAAAAAAAAATCTTGAAGCATTTGTCTTGTGTTTTAATATTGTGAAATACAATTTAATGATTTCCCTCCCCTTTGGCTAAATAGTGTTGTCATTGTATACCTTTGTAAGACTGAGGAAGATTGTGGAGACAATGACTAACAATGGGTAACCACTGAAGACTTCTCTGTAATATATAAAACAGGCCAGTGGCTAATGAATCTTTGTAACCTTTCACAGATAACAGTGAAAAGATGAGGTAGTAAGTACCTTAGGTATTGGGATTTCTAGGCATTTTATTTAATATGTCACTCGGCAAGTTTAAACTACTATAGTTGCCCAACTATAAAGTTTTTTGTAATTTTGAGGGAGCTAGCAGTTCATAATATTCATATTTGTCAAGACAATCATTTTTAAAAAGCTACAAAAATTATTAGAGCGTCTTGTCCTAGGACTTTTTAGTCTTTCTCAGCAGGCTTTGAAGCCATTACCAAAGGAACCCTATTCTAGGCAGACCTGGTAGGAGAGCTACTCCTAGATAGCCATTTATCCTCTCTTTAGAACAGCTTTTTTTTTTCCTCTTCCCAAATGTTAGTGAAATAGAAGTTGCTTCCTAAAGTTTCATACACAGCCACAGTTTAACATTTTTGCTTTTCGGCTTTGCTTTACCTAAAGCTGAAGTGGCTTTTATTATTATTGTGCCAGATTACTTTGTTCCACCCATTGGTGATAGATCCAGGAAGTAATAGTATAGAGTCACATTCAGAACTTTTTTAACCATTTGAATTTGATGATGTGGCACAGTTTCACTGCTCAGAGTCCATTCTGACCTGTTATAAAGATCTAAATCAGTACCCTGGAGCCAGCAGATTTACATGTCAAAAACTGACTTTTTAAGGAAATGTGTCCTAAGTGAGGCATTTCCGTTGGTTTAAGTTTGGTCTAGAAGATAAAGGGCAGGTAGAGGGCTTAAGTTTTATTTCTGACATTTCCACTCATGATAATGTTAGGTTTCTTAATATTAAAATGGTTGCAGGACCTTATTGCTCAGCACCTTGCTTCTGCACAGCTTTCACTTCTTTTATTTCTCGTGGTTTCACAGTAACCTAATGAAGTTCATAGGAACAGGCTGTTGCCCTTGTTTTATCAAGTAGAAACCTGAGACGCCTCCCAGGAAGTACACATGATAGTTTTTCTTTAAGTACTAAGAATAAAACTGATTTATAGAACTGAGAGTCCTGGTATTTTCAGTAGAGGAAATTATTTTTAAATGCTACTCTTTATTTTTAAATTAGGAGAGGAAAATGTTTATACTTAGAAGTATTTACTTCTGTTTTAACATCTTTATTGCTTTCTTCTGTTTTTAACATCCTCATTTCCGAATAGCTCTCTCCCACTCCCCTCTCTGGTGGGCCATCCCTTTTTACAAGTTTTTTTTTTTTTTAAAAGAGGAAAGAAGCAGTTCAGCAAAAGTAACTGATACCTCAACTGAGTCCCATATATTTTATATTAAGCCCACATATGCATCTTATATTTGGAAGCAGACAGGTTACAAATCCTAAATTAAGATTGGGTGCCAAATATGTTGTATATTTATTTCCTGAGATTGAGCAGACAGTCTGATTGTTTCTTTATTTTAGAGAGCGAAGAATCTGTGATACCACGTGCCTCAAGATGACAGTGTTAATCAAAATTGCCAGCTGTAGGGCAGTTTATTTTCCCAGCCCAGGAGCCTTTTTCTATATCAGCATGAAAAGGAATGTCTGCTGTTGGTATTTTACCCTGGAACTAGTATAGCTGGATTACTTTTATGCAGCCACCAGGCACATTTTATTGACTTATGAATACTGCTCAAACATCCTGGGTTTCTTTAACTTATGAATACTTTGTATGTGTTTGCAGCAACAGAATGTCCGAAGGAGACAGCGTTGGAGATTCTGTTCATGGGAAGCCTTCTGTGGTGTTTAGATTTTTCACAAGACTTGGACAGGTTTGTTTTATGTGGGTAATTGAAAGAGCAAATAATTGACTAATTATTTTGAACAATTATTTATAATTGTATTCCTGAAACTGTTAATTATAGACTTAAGGCATCTCTGAGTATCAATGCCCACATGGAGAGGGATAAGGAATTCTTGAATTATTCTTTTTGTTTACATTTTATTTCCTAAAATGATCTGATTGCTGTCCACAAAACACTTTGGCCTGTGTAATTTTTTTTTGGTGAGGCAGTTGGGGTTAAGTGACTTGCCCAGGGTCACACAGCTAGTAAGTGTTATGTGTCTGAGGCCAGATTTGAACTCAGGTTCTCTTGACTCCAGTGCTGGTGCTCTATCCACTGCGTCACCTAGCTGTCCCTTGGCCTCTGTACTTTTATCCTTACTTATTCCTCCTGTATAGCCAAGTCCTGCTCATTCTTTGAGATGTAGTATAAATCTTTTCTCCCAGAAGCTTTCCCTTACCACTCTAGTCCACAAATGTCTGTTCTTTCTTTGAATTCCTAATATGTTGTATTTATTTATCAGTTAATTGCCTTTTGGCGGCGGTTTTATCAAATCATTTCAGTTTTGTGTTATTGAGCATTTCACGGGTTTGTGTTCTCTAACAAGATTATATAAGTTCCACGATGACCAGGGTAGTATGTTTGTGTTCTTTACCACTGCTATAGCCGACGTTTGTTGATAATTGTTTGGCTGAGTGGTTTATTTATTTAATAAACATGAGATGCTGGGGAATAATTGGCAAAAGAAATAGTGAGCTGAGTACAATGTAGAGGCAGATATTTTCAGATGACCAGAAACATGAGAATGGTGGAGTGTGGGGTGAGGGAAATAATGGAAAGGCCATGTGATTTGTGATGGGGAAAGTTGTTGGAAGAGGTAAGAGCTTATAGAAGAGAGGGTGTTTGTGTTGGACCTGTAAGGATAGAGGGGAATTGAATGAGGATGAGGAAGGAAAGGGTGGTACTCCTGGCTTAGGACAATGGCATAGAGCCAGACAGTAGTGTTAAATGTTCAGAGCAGAGTTCTCTGTGCCTCCAGACAGGTGTTTGAGAGTCATCTACATAGAGAAGATAGATGAGGGCAGGGGTGGAGGGAAGAGAAGATCACCAAAGGAAGGAGAGAAAGAGAGACAGAAGGCCAATAAGGGCTTTGGAGGAAGAGGGGAGACATAGGAGGAGTGGTTGGGGAAAGGAAGAAAACCAGAAATGTGCATTACAGAAGCCAAGGAAGGAGCTGTGGCAAGGTGGTCTGCCCTGTCAGATGCTACACAAACAGGTTAGGAAAGTGAAGGAGAGAAAAGAAGCCCCATTGCATTTGGCGATAAGGTGTCATTAGTGACCTTGCAGAAAGTCCTTCAGAAACAGCCCTAATGTAAAGGGATGAAGGAGTCTAGTTGAGGAGTGAAGTGGATAGTAGCTTGAGAGAGAGGCGTTGGTAAAGGAAGGAAGGCTTTGTATTTAATATTGGGACACCCGTGCACACTAATGCTTGGGCTCTCTGGACAGTCAGCGAAACCACATTTCAAAGTACATCTGAATGTCACAAGTTCAGCCAACAATTTCCTATATGCCATACAATTTTATTTTTAAAACTTAGCTTTCAGGATTGAATCCAGTCTATGAACTGGCTGGTCCTCTGCTACTGATAGTGTTACCAAATATTAACATATTATTAATTATATAATTATAGTGACATTTTTAATCAAGATTGTTGCCCCTTAGGATATACATATATACATATCTATGTATATACAAACGCATATATGTGTGTGAATACATAATAGTATGTAATTGATTTTCAGATTGTTCTTTTTTTTGTACATTGAATAAAAATGGGTTGAAGTCTCCATTTTCCCTTTTGAAATATGCTGGGGCCTAGTAATGAAAATTCAGGAATTATATGAAAAAAATTACTTTATAAGTTGGATTGCTTCATCACAGGTTTCTTTTGGTATTTCATTAACTAGGTTGCCTCAAGTAGAAGTACAAGATGAACTTTGTTGCATTTTTTGTAGCAAAGTCCTTGTGTTTCAGTTTTTTGTTGTTAATTCATTTGTGATCTAATTGCTGCATTCCAGTTGTGTGTTTGTGTGTGTGTGTGTGTGTATGTGCGCATGTGCGTGCATTTTAAAATGAATGAAGCCTGTTTCTGGAGCATTGTTTTATATGTAAAGAAAAGATGCTTTAAACTAAAGGTTTTCCTTAACAGGAGTTACATTCTATATACATTTTAACCATTTTTGTCTTTTTTAGATTTACCAGTCCTGGTTAGACAAATCTACTCCTTATACAGCTGTGCGATGGGTTGTAACTTTGGGGCTAAGTTTCATCTACATGATTAGAGTTTATCTATTACAGGTAGGTAAAAACTGAAATAATAATGGATATTCAATTGATGTCTTACTTAAAACAGTATTAGTTGGGGCTGTGTTGGATATATCATGGAATTGTGTATTTATTAGGATAGTGGGTGCTTAATAAATGCTTATTGATTTATTTATGATGGGATATGCAATTCAGTTACCATTCTTCAGTAAACAGTAAATTTCTTTAAAAGTCTGTCTCATCCCCTTTTTTATTGATTTTTCAGTGCATTGGCATAGCCTATTATTACACTGTTATTTAAGTATATAATGGTAAGTATACAAATATATAATATAAATTTTACCTTAATACTTTAGGCCAGAGAGGGTGTTAAAGCGAATCTGTTCCTGTAGTCAGGTAAAATTATGACCTCATAAGCCAAAGTGTAGTCTTTTTTGTTTACTGTGTTTGTGGAATATGGCATCTTCACGTGTTTTTAGTATTATCATACAAGAATCAAACAGCCTCACAATAAATCATTGACAAGGCAAAAAATTAAATTGAAGAAGAGCAGCATGTTAAAAAAACTGAATTGAGTAATTCAGGAAAATTCTAGTGTGTGTGTGTGTGTGTGTGTGTGTGTGTGTATTTTAATGAAAAGTTAGTGAAGACCTTTTAGCTAGGTAAAAGCCAGAATTTCAGAGTAGGGAGGGAGATCTCTGGCCGTCTAGCCTGACGTATGTCAGAAAGAGCCCCTCTCTGTCCCGCCCAGTAAGTTGGTTGTCCAGCCTTCACCTGAAGGCCTCCAGGGAGGGGAAAGTTACCTCTTGAAGCAGCTGATTTCGACTTTAGAACACTGGGATTGTTGTGTTGAGCTGCGGTTTGCGCGTTGGCAGCTTCTCCCCATGGTGGCTTGTTGTGGCGTCTGGGGCCCAATAGAACAGTCAGGTTCCTCTTGCGGCTCTCATGCCCCCTCCCGAGTCTTCCCATCTCCTGGGTGAACATTCCCAGTCCTTTGAGCTAATCCTCATTCGTGTCCCCCTCGGGCTCCTCACCATACTGTTTGTCCACTTCCGCATTGTCTGGAGACTCAGCTGTCACGTAGTTAAAATGTGGCCTGCAGGGCTGCACACAGACTCCAGGTGGGGTCTGCCAGGGCTGCTCTGCTCCTCTGTCCTAGTTGCACCTGTCGGGGTGGCCCAGGATTTCTTGGCAGCTCTCTCTACACCTTTGGCTCACCTTATCCACTGAGGCATCAGGTCTTTTTCAGAAAAATGCTCCCTAGCCATGCCCTCACCATTTTGTTCTTCTGCACAGTGGGCTTTTAAACCCAAGTGTAAGACTGCTGGCTTATCCTTACTGAATTTCATGCTATTAGATTGAGCCCAGGGATTTAGCCAGTTGAGATTTGGAATCCTGATGGTCATTCAGCATGTTACCTGTCGCTTTCAGAGCCGTCATCAACACATTTGATGAGCCTGCTTTCTCTTATCATTTTTCTGAAGTCACTGATAACGTCTTACACGGCACAGGGCTTGGCCCTGATCTGTGGGACACCGTGCTCTTCAAAGTGACATAAAATCATTAACGGCTACTCTTTGGATCCGGCCGTTCAGACAGAGAGTGTCAGTTTATCCTTGGTTTACCTCACGTTGCACGTAGTTCTTCAAGGCCCAACGTGGATGTCCACCTCTCTTGATAAGAGTAATAATAGTAGTGCTAGTGATAGTAGTAACTGCAATAGTTAGCATTTATGGAGCACTTAATTATGCGCTAGGCATTCTGCTCAGCACTTCAGAATTATTACTTCATTACAACAAGCCAGAGAGGAAGGTGCTGTTATCCCCATTTTACAGTTCAGAAAATGGATGCAAATACAGGTTAAGTGACTTGTCCAGGGTCATAGAGCTAGCCAGTGTCTGAGGCCATATTTGAACTCAGGTCTTACTCACCCAGGCCCAGCACTGTATGCGCTCTGCTGTGCCATCTTCCTTCCCCGTGAAAGTGCTCTCTTCTCATTTCCTTGCCCTTTACCTTGCCTCTCTTTTGTGTCTACCACATACACCTGTCACATATTTATTTGTATCTGTGTCATCCTCCCCAACACACACACACACACACACACACACACACACACACACACACCCCCTCACCTTCGTTCAGGGCGAGGTCTGCCAGTTTTCACCTTTGTGCCCATAGTACATAGCGTGGTGCCTCGCACGTAATACGCACTTACTATCTTCTTGTTGAATTTAATTTCACTTTTCAAATACTTTGTTCTTGGTGGAATTTGAAATTGTAATGGATCTGTTTTTCTCTTGTCAACTCCAAACTTGGAGAATGCCACAACACTTTAAATGAATTAGCCACAACGTCTGCAGTGTTTCCTTTGGAAGACCTAAGTGCAAGGGCGCATGGGATGTTTTTTGTGTCTTTAGAAAATGCCAAAAGGGGTCACGAAGAGTAGGAAAGGACTGCAGGACGCACTTCTGAAGGGTTCACACAGCTGCCGCGTTCGAGACATTCACCATAGGTTGACACCAGATTCCAGGCTCATAATGAAATTCAGGCCATGTGGCGTTTTATGTCGTGCCGGGAAAGGGGAGCCTTTCGAGTTGCAGCCACAGGCCCAGCTCTTCTTAACATTAAATTGTAACTTCTGGCTTTGGACTCATGAGTAAACTCAGCACGGTTGTTTGATGTGAACTTCAGAGTGCACTGTTTGATTTCTCTTTTTAGTTTCTGTCAAGAGGGGAAAAATGAGATCTGGATTTCAATGATCTTGTTCGTCTGAAATCCATTGTAGCAAATGCTCACTCAATGCTCTTTCCATATGTTTAAGGGACAATAAAACCTAAAGAGACCCCGGCCTTAAGAAGTGTTCTTGTGCTGTGAGTTGTCCTTTGAGCTTGGAATTGCAAGTGCATTATGGGTGGTAGTTGAAGTATGAGGACGGTCTGGCTTTTTGTGACATTTTTCTATTTGTAGTTAATTTTTTGCTTTATTGAGTGATCACAGATTTTACAGTCGATGTCACTGGTCCAAATGTAAAGATGAAAAAACAGGCCTGGGGCCGTCTATAGCTTGTGAGCTTATGACAAAACCCAGAATGGAACTCATAGCCCATAAATTCCCAGTCAGATGGTCAGATTTCAACCCAAACTTCAAAAACAAATGGATTATCTTCTTATTTATCTGCTGGTCATTTTAATTTAAATAGCACGCATATACATTGAGACGTTGGACAGTGGGAAATCAGATTAAATGGACCTGTGCGTTTCACATTCTTTAATGTTATTTGTTTATTGCCACTGAGGACAGCTGGGTATCTTGTTTGTTCCTCGCCCCTAGTGAGTTTGTCAGGAAACGCATTTGGGATCCCAGGATTCAGACAGGAATGTCTCTGTCTTAGAGATCTAGTGCAGCCCCTCATTTTAGTGATGGGGAAAACGGAAGCCCAGTTAGCGGACCCATGGTCTGAACCTAGGTCTTCTGACATCTGCCATGCAGAATTTGATACAGATGCAAACTGTTGACTTGATTTTATTGGGAAATAAACTGCTCAGCTCAGTCACTTATCTTTCCTTGCTTCTCACCCCTCCAGTACGGAGAGAAGACTCTTAGGCAGTGCAAACAGCATTATGACTAAAGGGAAGTAGCATTGGAAGGGCCCACTTTGTACACAAAACGTTCAGTTGTCTAATGAAAGCGGTTTCTACCACCATCATTATATTGATCACGAGACTGAAGTAATTATAGCTCAGATCAATAGGCATTTAGGAAGCCCCTGCCATGTTTCAGGCACCGTGCTGAGCCCAGAGGATACGGAGAAAGGCAGCAGACAGACACACCCTGCTCTCCAGGGGTCACAGTCTGATGGAGGGTGGGTAACCACATGCAGGCAACTTTATACAAACGAGACCAGGACAGGGTAAATTGGAGGTGATCTCCAAGGGAGGGCATCGTTAGACTAACTGCCACAGCAAGAAGGAAACAGACTGACCGTGTAACACAAATGTGTCCATACCGCCAGCCTACTGATTTCTGGTAGTACTTTATATATGCAATATACTGTACATATATATTCAAGTTTGTAAACGTGTGTGTTATCAGGAGATAATGCTAAAGAAGTTACAGTAGGTGGGTTTTTCTTTTAAATCATGCAGTAATTTGGGGCAGCACTTTTGAGTCAGACCATGGTTTGAGTCAGTCTGCCACTGTGATGGGCAAATTGTTTCACGTCATTTTTTTTCAGTTTTTCGGTTGTTTGGTCATCTCCAAATGAGGGGATTGAAATAGAACTTTAAAGTCCCCTTGCATCTCCAAGATATTCTGATCCTTATTAAAAGCTTGAATCTAACAGGGAATAATTAATAATACTGAAAGGAATTCTTAGGATATTTTATGTGATTTTTGCTAGAATGACACTATGAACATGCTTTGTCCAGTTTTCCCACAGATCTTCAGAGAGGCCTTTTGCAAAAGCAAGATAAAATTTTGTATTGTCACTAAGAAATAGGCGACTGATAGTGATGCAGATCCTTATCTTCACCCTTCCTGGCTTCAGTAGCATTCACCTGTCATAACTGAGTCTTAAATACTACACATAACATTCTGCACAGATGATATGTATACAGGTATTTTAGTTAATGCAGTAAGATAAAACTATACCATTTTCTCACTGGATGAACTTGACATTATTAAAATGGGTTTGTTTAAAAGGAAGCCTGCGGCAGACAGGTATTGTCCAAGTCCTTGCCTCTCTCCTGTACTTTGTTCTCATTGAAGACTTTAAAAAAAAGTCATTCCGATCTTCTGGTTCTAGTTTTCCCACCAAGCAAAGATGGATACATTTTATGGTGTGTCTGATAACATGAGTTTGGGATTAGATTACTAACTGCCAGGCATAATGCATGTAATCGTCATTATTTATCTAGCACCTTCTATGTGCCTATCACTGTGCTAAGTGCTTTATAAATATTCTGTCATTGACCCCCACAGCAAGCCTAGGAAGGAGGCGCCATTATTATGCCCATTTTACAGACGAGAAAACTGAGGCAAACAAATACCTTGCTCGGGATCACACAGCTAATAAATGTCTGGAGTCAGATTTGAGCCTCGGTCTTCCTGACTCCCAGCCTGGAGCTCTGTCCACCGAGTCACCGGTATTTCTGCTTCTTAATACTAGTCTTAGTTGGCTTCTCAGAATTCTTCATTTGATTGAGAGGCACAGATTTAGACCTAATGGTATCCTTGGAAAACTTGGCAGTTTGGGCTCTAGGTTGTACACCCCAACGTAGCGAGGTCTGTAAATTAACCTGAAGTCAATGTTGTTTCTCTCCCCCACATGTGATGTAACTGGGCAGATAGCTTATGATTAAGTCAGAGAAGATTCCCGAGGCTTCAACCACCGCAAACCCCTTAGAAAAGAATAGGCCTCGCGCTCGGGAGGTCGCTCTAGCTGCTGAATGGGCAGATGTGTCTGTAACCTCTGGTTTTGTTCTCTCAGGGTTGGTACATCGTGACATACGCCTTGGGAATCTACCACCTCAATCTTTTCATAGCTTTCCTTTCGCCAAAGGTAGATCCCTCCTTAATGGAAGACTCAGGTATGCTGGGGTCAGTCCGTTGTCTGGGAGTGTTTGGTGATAGGGGAACCGGCGAGATCCCTCTGTCCTGGACACTCAAATGTCAGATTTCTTCCTGGCAGTTAAGGCCCTTAGCCGAAGGTTAGGTTGCTAGGAATGGTAGTTTACAGTATCTGCCCTCCCTTCCAGCTCATTACTACCGCCCTACCTACCCTACCCTGGGTGTTGGCACCAGTTACATTGTTTACTTTTTTCAGTTGGTGAAGTGGACCTTTCAGACAGCTCCTAAACTGTAAGCCACTTGTCAGTCTGGGTCCATACTCCAGAAACAAGTTAGGTTTCCAGATTATTTATTTGGATTTGAAAACTGGCTGGCTCTTTAAGAGTCCTGTTCAGTGATGGGGTTTGACCTCTACATAAAACAGCTGCTGGGGGTGGGAGGTGGCCCCCATTCCATGGTTACCCCGCTGTCACCCTAGCTCACTCTGCCTGGCTGCCTGGCAACAGGCTGTTGATCTGGAAGGGGGTCTTTACCAGAGAGTAGGGAGGGTGGAGGATTCCTTCATGAAGGGTAAATCCCAGCACTATTGCTGGAAGATCCTTCTGAAGATAAGGCAGTCTTTGAAAGACAGTTTATTCTGAGCTTTTCATTTCCTAGAGAGGCTTACCTTCATGTTATGTTTTTTTGACCAAAAAAGGTGATTTTTTTTCTCACTGTTAGAACATTGCCTATACCCCCCCCCCCTTTTTGTTTTGAATGATGACATTTGAAAAATACTAGGAAGGGAATGAGTGACCTTGGGAGATTCGTTCTTATGAATGAAATGTACAGATTTGTTATTTGTTACCTGTTTTGAGTCTTGGAATGCATTGAATAGGAATCAGTATTTTGTTTCGTGTGGTCCTTATAACTCGTTGTCTCTAATTGCTGGTGTGTCATGAAATGTTTTGTAAATTGAATAAATATAAAATGCACCAGGGGACCTGATGTATACAATGAATCCCCTCACATGACTCAGTATTGTTAATGTTTTTGTAAAACAGAAGAACCAATTTTAAAATGAATAACCGCTCCCTAGACTTAGCTGTGTGGAGTTTGCACTTACTAATTTTAGTGATAGTCTCGAGTGGATTTTAGGATTACAAGACATGTTGTTTTAATAGCAGTCTGGACGTTGCTTTTTTGAAAGGATGATGTGGCTGTCTCACATTAAATTTACATGTTTGGTTATATGTCACTTTGTAGATGAAGGGCCTTCCTTACCAACAAAACAAAATGAGGAATTTCGTCCTTTCATTCGAAGGCTTCCAGAATTTAAATTTTGGTAAGTGAATTCTCAGTGTTTAATTTTGAGCCAGGCACGTTGAAATGTAAATGTGAAGTCTAGAGTGGTAATTTTGGTTTCCATGAATGTCCATACTTTTGGATTATCTTGACCAATTAAGTCTTTCATTTATGGTTGACCTTTAAGGGACTAATTGTAATCTCACTTATCTCTGGGTGGAAAAACAAACAAAAAACTGCCTGCATTTTCTTTCTTTAAGGGGACTACCATAACCTGAAGGGGTTTCTTTTCTATAGCTAGTGCCATCATTATACTGGGATATAAGATATAGGCAGTGTTTCCTGATTTAGCCATCGTGTCTATGTCAGTGAATGTGGTAATGTGTTATGTATTCTCAGTCCAAAGTGCTGCCAGAAACCCACTGATTTTGGTGGAGTTCAGCTTTAAGTGAGTAACTACCATTGGGCAATTTTGTCATTCTGCTTAAGTATAAATTGGAAAAAACATTGGATATGCTAGGGAATAAGTCTGATGTGGTGATGATGATGATGATGATGATGATGATAAGTTGGTAGCCGGATGCTCTTAGAGATGAATGACAACATTTTGAGACGTGCTTCCCAGAGTAGATTGACATTCCTTCCTCTCGAGCTGTGAGATGGTCACAGAGGCACCAACGTGCAGCCCTGTAGCCAGATCTCAGCTGGCGTGGCAACAGATGCCTTCATCTTTGCTCTCTTGGCTTTTAGGCATTCTGCTACTAAGGGCATTCTCGTTGCTATGATCTGTACGTTTTTTGACGCTTTCAACGTCCCAGTGTTCTGGCCGATCCTCGTGATGTACTTTGTCATGCTTTTCTGTATCACCATGAAGAGGCAAATAAAGGTAAGACTCAACAAGCAGATGTTGTTGGACTGTGCCCAGTAGAAGTGACTGACCCCTGGGCACCTCACAAAAGGTGGCAGCACTAATCAGCTGCAGTTTTCAAATGAGAGGAGGGTTGCATTTTATGCACCTACTATGTGTCAGGCACTGTGGATACATACAGAGACAGAAGTGAAAATATCTTCTCCGCGCTCAAGGAATTTATAATCTAGCAAGTGGCACGCGCACACACACACACACATATGCACGGATGCACGGACACAGAATACAGGATAGTTTGAGGTGGGATCCCAGCAGTTAGGAAACCAGGAAATACTTCAAGTAGAGGATGATGATTGAGCTGACCCTTAAAGGAAGCTAGAAGTTCAGAGAGGCAGAGGTGAAGAGCGAGATCACCTACTGGTGAGAATATGCATCAATAATATAAGTGATGCAAAGGTAGTTTTTGGAGTAGTGCGGTAGCCATCCTTTACCTTTCGGTAAGTTACTTAGCATTTAACAGTAACTTGCTTACAGCTGTTTATCTGGGCCGCCCTTCTCTGAGGCTCTGACTTGCTCTGACTTGCCCTGACCATATTACCAAATGTCAGGAGCCCCTTTTAGAGCAGAGAATTTGCCACTTGGGAATTACACACACGCTTTCGTGGCCACAGTGGTTTATCTTATACTGCAGCACCTTGTCTCAGACTGTGCTGGCCTGCTTCTGCTTCTCTCCCAGCCCTGAGACAACTTTTGTCCCTCTGGAGTGTGGTGCCAGATCAGTCCATAAAGATGACATTGTTACCGTAGTGACAGGACAGTGACAGGGTGGGTCATAATTTCATGGATTACTCCTCCCTAAAAGATGCGGAAGGGACATTGAAGGAGTTTGGTCCCGTAGATTATTAGGGGATATGTGCTCTGTTGGGAACCTTTGTACCTGTAAGTAACTGAATTATCTTTCTCTTGCAGCATATGATAAAATACAGGTATATACCGTTCACACATGGGAAGAGGAAATACAAAGGGAAGGAAGACATGGGGAAGACATTTGCTAGTTAGAATCTGAACTGACCCTGTCACCACATAATCTGAGAAGAACCGTTTTGAGCCATTGTAACAATGCCTTTTTTCTTCATATAAAGTAGTTGATTAAGAGGGAGTCGAAATTTTCTTTGTAAAAAAGGATCTTCAATTATTTGTAACTGAAATGTCAGAGAGGTTCTTGAAGACGCTGGCATTTAAACCAAATTGCATCGAGTTCCTTTTTTGGTCATGTCACGTGTTTCACTCTGAAGGGATTCTGGTAGACTGCGACAGTGGGTGAACAGTCTCATGTGAAGGTGATGTTTCTCCATCACCGTCCCAGTCCGTTTGCATGGCCCTCTAGCGCTTTGAGGGTGTGTGGGGGATGAGGGAGGGAAGCATGCTGGGAGCTGCTTTTGGCTTCCTAAGTGGTACAGCATTCATGGGAATGTCCCTAAGTCCTCCCTCAGATGCAATCGACGACCTTCAGCTGTCTGGGCACATGCATGATATTTGGGGGCCATAATCAAGTCATTGAATAGTAGATCTGATGATGAATTGAATGCTGCCTTTTTCCTAAAGAACTTAACATTTTAAAGGTGATTTTCACGTAACTGTGTTTGGGGGTCTAATGCCAGTTTCCTAATCGCATCTTACTAGAGATGTTTAAAGTTTGGCTCTTTTCATAATGACTCAAAACTTTGTTCTTAATGACCATGATTTCTTTTGAGGGCCCTGAATTATAAATATATAAATATATATATTTTCATTGTTTGAAATTATTTTGACACATTTCTTTGATATTTCAAGAAGTGGGGTTGGTTTGGTTTTTGTTTGGGGTTGGGTTTTTTGTTTGTTTTTTTGGTTTTTTTGGATTAACTTTTTTCCTTTATGCATCCCCTTCAGAACTCAACACAGCTGGCAGTAACAGTTTTGTGGGTTTTAACACATAGATTTCATTTTCTATGGGAAAAAAAATAGAACTATGACCTGCATGTAAACTTTTTTGATGTGATAAAACAACTCTAAAATTTTATTAAGTGACTTTTTAATTCCAGACTTTATTAAAGATAGTGTCCCCTTTCTTGTGTTAGTCTTTATATAAGAACACTACAGCTCATCACATATCATAGGAAAACCCAGTTGGTAAAAGTATTCATTTTTTTCTACAACTGAATCATTTTAGCTTACAGCTACTGAAAAAAAAATACAAAATATTTGAATGAATTGCCACTATGGTCTTATATGCCATAGTGAAAATTAATGTATTTGCTCCCTGATCTTAGAGTAATGCATAGAATAGATACTTTGAGAGCTATTTTTAATAGTATATCCTTTAATTGTAGATGCCGAGTTTGGGGGTATATATGAACATGGTCTCTATTACCCAGATATTTATGCAATGTTCAGTTATGGGATTTCTAGAATTGAGGCTTTAACAATTTTTTTTTGTTCTCCGTGATTATATAGTAAAAGTACTCTTGAAAATTTCAGTCCTCTATATGAAGTTCATATTTAAGTGATCATCAGAACTGAGACATTGAGCTTTCTAAGGCAAGTTACCAAGAAGGCTGTCTCTACCATGGTTAGATTTGTTTCCTGAACACATTCCAAGTATTATTAATTTGATAGTTAAATTGCTGCCCTCTCTCGTATGTGGTTTTTAAAAAGCAGTGAGATATGGCAGCACTGTATTGCACACTTGGTAAAAATGTGAATTTAAAGATTTTTTATATAACTTTTAAAAATACACAGTATAAGCATGGTAACTTTTTTCAACTCTTACCTTAAAAATCTGCCTGTGGTTAAGCTTAATTAGCTTTTCCACTAGACAAGTTTCTTTCATGGTGGGTGCTCTTTTCTCTGGGGACTGGTCACTTAGAGGCTGATCATGTGTTTTTATCTACTCTGTTGGCAAGAATCCTTCTGTTTGAGTGGTATTAATAACCTCTCTCTGGTCTTGTAACCCATTATACTTGACTCCTAATGTAGATTCACTGCGTTCAGTCTCTTTGTAATGAAACTTAACTGTTCTGTTATCTTCTAAAGTAAATGGTTATTGCAGGCAGCTTTTATTAGAAGTTAATTGGAATACAGTTTATGTTGGAAAGAAACAAAAATTAAATCTTAATTTTAATTCCCCCTTCTGCCTTTCTAGGCTTCTAGCATGCTGAAGGGCTGCTTAGAATGTTTTTAAAGATGTAACGGGAAGAATCTTTCTGCTAGATTTAAAGTTAAGACATTTTTCTGTTGTACCTTTAAAATGTGACTCATTAGGAAACTTATTTACTGACCAATAGCAATTATTATTGGAATTGAAAATACGGAGTTGAAAAAATTTATTTTTCCACAGATTTGTGTGGATTGGTGTAATTCATGAATTCAGCAAGTGGAGATTAGATGGACCAAAAGAAAGGGATCGTCGGGTTTGTAGAGGACAGTCCTTGTTTGGGTTGGGTTAAAGTCAGTCACTTTGTGACACCTGACAGCAGGTGGTTCTGGATTGGTTAACCTGCGCTTTTGTCAAGGGCCTTCCACCTCTTCAGTCTGTGCAAACAACCATGTGTGTAACTCAGCAGTGTCTCCATGAGTTGGCCTGACTTTGCTGGCAGGAAAAGCACCCCGAGAGGTGGAGAACTGAATCACCAGCCAGCGTGTGGCTTTCCCTGGCAGCAGAGTGGATACATTTGGGCCAGTGGACTGGAGGGTGGGTTTTGTTGTTTTGTTTTCGAAAGCATGTGCCAAATATGAGCTTGGGTGGACACCCAAGCAAGCCCTAGTACATACAGGGAAAGGTTCCGGCTGTTCTTCACTTGGCAGCCAACCACTTAATCCACAGTTTGCACCTGGAATAAATAGCAAGTTCTCTAAGTCATTCAATCATGAATAAACCTGATACTGAAATTATTATACTATGATATTTACACAAACCTTTATTATTGACTGCGTAGAATGTAAATTCAGAAGAATCTGGTTGCAGCTGCATGTTAGTTGTGGGGTAAGGAAGAAAACCTAAAACTCGGCTTTTTTGATAAGCACAGTGAGCCCCTTTCTGAATAAGCAAAATGCCAACTTCTCAGAAACTATTTTCAAGTAGCACAGAAATTGAGGGAAAGGAAGTTAGATTACTGTTAGTCCAAAAGAGTCAACTCAGTTATCTCAGGCTAATTAGAAAGGAAGATGGGAGATGCATACATTTGACAACAGTATCTAAGATCCAGGATGAATTTTCTGAGTCGAACAAGCTTGCCTTTGTGTGTATGTTCCAGTGTAGACATGCATCCCTGTTTGAGGTCCTGTGCTTGGTTAGGAAGGACATCTTAATACCCCAGAGTTAGAGTTATCAAGTCAGGCCTAGCTTCCTACCACACCTTTCCCATTAGCTGAGCAGGGGACAAAGTACCTTATGCAGTGATTTCAGAAATAACCTTGATAATTTCAGTGCACATGAAGTCACCATCATGATTCTGGATAAATTAAAATGAACTCTGCTTTTGGTCCATTAATAAAGACATGATCTCTTGAGAGTTTCTTCCTTTTCTTCTGTTGCCCTTTGAGCTGGGTTTGCTAGGACTAGCGATAATGCCGCAGGTAAATCAGTTTCTGTGGATGGAACTTTTCTCTGCAGAGGGGACACTCTGTCTGTGGGGAAAATGAAGACGGATGAGACCGGGCACTGAAGTTCCCATTGCCCTCTAGGAGGAACAGGCTACGTAAACGTGATGAAGCGGCACAGGAAGGCCGAGGATGTGCGGGCACTGAAAAGCCTAAGCCTGCCTTTTTCACATTCACAGTTATGCTTCATTTTCAAGATGGAGAGATGAAGATTATCTCAACATTTCTTCCCCGATTAGCTCATGTAGGCCTCAGTCTTTATCTGACTAATCCAGCTTTTTTTAATTGCTGTATATTTAAGGCAAGAATGTCTCATGCATTTGAATTTTTGTCCCTGATTAAAATTAAGCCAAGTGTCTGCATTGCATTTTCAAAGTCAGACCAGTGAAAGTAATATATTCATAAATCTAACAGGGAGTTCAGACACTAGCACCCTCCCTCCACTCCCCAAGCTTCCTGGGGAATGAGAAGTGGAGCCTAGTGGTTCTGTCACAGGCAAGACCTCAGGCCTGCCTCTCAGATGCGGTGGGAGGGGCAGGTGAGGAGACTTGGATTTGAGTTCCTATTCTCCTAGATGTCACCTTTCTGAGCCCGTTTCCTCTTCTGTAAAACAAGGAGGCTGGAAGAGAGGAGCTCCTAGTTCCAAAACTCCCCAATTTCACTGTTTTATTGGTTTGCTCTTTTATAAGCCACAGAGTTTGGCTGGCTTCCCTCTCCCACCAGTGAGTGCACAGGTGCAGTCGCCTCTTAATGGAGGTACTCCTTCTAAAGATGCTTTCTGTGTCATTGGGCCTAGGGCACTGAAAGGGAGAACCTCAGCTGAAAGTGAAGCCCCTGGCTCCAGCTGTTAATTTGTTTGACCCAGAAAGGATCCTGCCTTCAGTTCACTGATGCTGCTGTATACTCTGGAAACTGGTAATCCACCTGTCTCTTTTGTCCCCTACATCAGAAAGGTCTGCAGTGCTGGAAGTCCCCATCTCGACTGCTTAAAGGGAAAACTACTGAATAGGGTTGAACAAAACAGCTTGTTTCTCATCTTCATTAGGTTTTCCAGGCGAATGGGACAAATTCTAGATGGTAAGGTATAGAAATGAGAGTAGGGAAAAAAATGTAGCCATCTCTTCTCAGGAGTGATTGTGTTACTCATGCTGGGGCCACGAAGGAGCTAGCTTTTACAAGCTGCTGCCCAAGATGAGTCAAAACCTGCTTATGGCTCATCTCGAGAGAGTCCTGCTGGTGTCCTGCTGTCTTTCTAAAATAACCTGTTCCTTTTCTGAGTATGGACAGAGCCTGTGAAGAAAACTCAGCTGTCAGCAGTCAGATGGCTGCTGAGGAAGACCTGGGTGCCTGTCCTGCCTTGGATGTATCCTGGCTGTGTGACCTTCCACAAGTCACACCCTCTCCATGCTCAGGGCACTCTAAGGTGCCAATCTGGACTGGTGGGGGGAGTTTCCTCACCCACACCTCTTCTAGATCAGGAGGTTTCTAACCTGGGTCTGTGAGCTTATTTTGAGAACTTTGTTTTACTTTGTAATCTTATGCATTTAAAAAACCTTACTCTGAGAAGGGACCCAGAGGCTTTACTGGACTGTCAGAGGGGTCCAGGATGTAAAAAGGTGAAGAACACTGCTTTGGGTTGGTGCTTAAGAGCGATGGAGGAAAAAATCCACCAATTGCCTATGTCTGAGCCAAGGTTCTCAACTGAGCTTCCCAGCAGCCCTATAAAGTGAGGAGAGGCTGCAGTTCTCCTTTTGAAAGAAGAAACTGAGGCAAGGCTTAAAGGTTTGCCAATGATCACAAAGCAAAACAGCAGAGCTGGGATCCAGGATGTCCAAACCATCATAGGTCGGAGATGGGGCTCAAACCCATGCTCAGCCTCCCTCAAACATACCTGTCCAAAGACGCCTCCATTCTCTTCCCCCCTTACCTTGGTGTTACACCACTCAGTGATGCACTCCCAGCAGAAGAGGTGGCCACATGGGGTGGCCGTGGTCCGCCGGCGCTCCTCCAGGCACAGGGTACACACAGAGCCCCTGCCCACAGCCTTCTCTTCCATGTGGCTCCTGTGAGGAAAACAAAGCATGGCCACCGTGCCCTACCAGTCCCTGAGGGAAGGGGGCGAGTCCCCGGAGCCCTCTGCCTGGGGCCACCCCTGGGCCAGGGAAGCTTCATACTTGCGGTGGGAGAGGCTGCGATGGAGCTTCCACTCCTTCCGTGCCCGCTGCCTCTGACTGAAGCCGTAGATCTGGATGCCCACTGAGAGCAGGAGGTGCAGCAAGGACACCATCCCCAGAAGCCTGTAGCTCCAGCGAACACTGTGGTCCTCCGTGGGGAAGTGGCGCACGTGGAGCTGTGGAGTTCAGAGAGTCCCCAGGGCGGCAGGGTCAGGCACTGCGTTTACAAAGGGCAAAGTGGGTGGTCCCCACCCCAAGGTGGCTTTGACTTGGCTTGGAGGCACCGCCCCGTACACTAAGTCAGCACAGAGCCAAAGGAGGAGAGGCTTGGGCAAGAGGTGGCATCTGGGCTGGCCCTGACTCCCAGCAAGGATGCTGACGGAAGGGCAACACGCAAATGCACCCCAGTGGGTGAGAAAGGGAGCAGTGAGTTCTAGGAGGCCTGTTCCCCCCAGCTACGGCAGCCAGCGACCTAGAAAGTAGCCCGGAGCACAGAGAGCTTCAGGGACCTGCCAGGGTTGCCCAGTCTGTGTCTGAACGTCTCCCGGCTTCAAGGCTACTTGTGTCCATGGTGCCAGGCAATCGCTAATTCAGCTTGGTTAGAACACAGTGCATGAAGGAGTAACAGGAGATAAGACTTGAAATACCAACTGAAGCCTGAACTGGGAAGGACCTTAAATGCCAGGCTAAATGTTGGCATTTTGCTCTGAACAAGGGGCCACATGGGCAGCAGGCCTCAGGAAGGTGACTGGCAGCTGGGGTTCCAGGGGTGGTCAACGAGAGCCCACCTGCTCGACCAAGAATGGCGTTTACGTTTTTAAGTTAGGTCTGGTGGCCCAGGGTTAGACAGTGGAGACGCCCACAGAACCTTTGAATGCCTGAACAAGGGTAGAGAGAAAGGAATGGGGAAGAAAGGTGCCAAGGAGACAGAACAGCAGGACTTGGCAGGAACCTGGAGATCAGGGTGGTGGGAGAGGAAGAGTCAAGGAAGGTGCCAAAAGATGGAATCGGGTGGGGTTGGAGGAGGGACGGGCACAGCAAGTAACAGGGCTGAGTTGGCCTTGGCTGTCTGAATTGGTGACAAAGACAAAAGGGGAATCAAACGAGCTTGCTTGATACAGACTTGGTGACAGCCAACTTAAAAAAGAAAAGATGGCAGTTGGGGTACTGATCCAGTTCTGACCAAGATCCCAACAGGAGCTGGAAAGGACCCAAGGAACTATCCAGCCCAGACTGGAGACGCTTGGAGGAGGAAGAAGAGTACAGGAGAGCCGTGAGGCCACCCTCAGGCGTCCAGTCCCAACCCGAGGGCTGCTGCTATTGACCTAGACCCCACTGGGAGCCTGAGGAATCTGGGGCCCAGCACAGTGCTTCCTGTTCAGTCATTAATACTGAAAACTTGGTGGGAAACAGCCTAACAGGATGGAAAGGAGCCCCTGAATGCCTCAGAGCTCGGGGTGTGACCTCATCGGTATGATGGAAAGTGAGGTCAGCCCCCGCAGCTGTGTAGCCTGAGCGTGTAACGCGTTCTGCACATCCGGAGCGCAGAGAGAGCAGCAGGCTGTTCTGCGAGCCTGCCTTCCTGGAAGAGAACCCAGCCGCGCTGCGGATAGCGGAGCACCGAGCTACTTACATACTCAATGCCGGTGAGCCTTTTGGCCAGGTGGTAGAAGATTCCATCGATGTAGAACACAGCGACGTGCAGCCGGCGGAGGCAGGCGGCGCTCTGCTTCAGAATGTGCAGTGTGCGCAGCAGCGTCGTCTTCTGCGGCTCGGTCATGTGGCAGACCCGCCTGTGAAGCCACCGCCGCGCCGCCGACCTCCCTCGGACACCGGGCGCCGGGCTGCTGTGCGGGTGCCGGGCACTCCCGCCTCCTGCCTGCAGCTCGTGCTCGAGATGGACTGAGGCCTTATCCAGCGCGTAGGGCACGAGGGCGTGCAAAGACACGAGCGCAGCTCGGCGCGGCCAGGAAGGGACTCTCCTCTTGGACGGGTCCACCTGGATGATGTTCACGTATTCTTCCCCGAGAGTCTGGCAGCCTGTAAGGCGAGAGCGCACGGGACGCTGGGGGCGCCGCCGGGCCCCGCGGACCCAGCGCCCGCGCAGCCGCCCCGCCCCAGGCCCTCATCGCCTCTCCCCAGCCTGCTTCCTGAACAATCTCCAGATCATCAGGCCAGGCCCCAGCCATTACTGCTGCTTGGCTCCTTTCATTTCTTCCCTACTGACTGCAGAATAGAATGCCGACTTGTCCTGGGGAGAGCCTGCCTGCCAGCCAAACTAGCTTCCCCACTCCTTTTACCACCTTCCCAGCCTGTCTTCTCACAGAGCTGGGAGTCAGGGAGACCTGAGTTCAAATCAGGCCTCTGCCACTCACTACTTGGGTGACCCTGGACAGGTCACTTCACCTCTGTGCCTCGGTTTCCTCACCTGTAAAATAGAGATAATAACTGAACCTAATTCCAGGTTTGCTGTGTCAAACAAGATAACACGTGAAAGGTTTGGAAATCTTCGTACTATGTAAACTCCAACTATTATCATTACTAAGGCAGCTAAGTGGTGTAGTGGATAAAGTGCTAGGGCTAGACTCAAGAAGAAATGTGTCCAAGTTCAGCCTCAGACACTTCACCCCGTTTGCCTCAGTTTCATCATCTGTAAAATAAACTGGAGAAGGAAATGGCAAATCACTCCAGTATCTCTTCCAAGAAAACCCCAAATGAGGTCACAAGGAATTGGACACGAATGAAAAATGACTAAACAACATTATTATTGTTTTTATTTCCACTGTTCTGAATCCTCTTCAGTGCTCTGCTCAGCTGCCACCACCATGAAGCCCTCCCTGATCTCCATAAGAAAGAACATTCTCTTCTTCAAGAAGCATCTTGCTAGTATTTCACCTCTGCCCCCACTAGGGTTCTTTATACTTTACTGGGTACCTGTCACGACTCTCCCTTTGGGGCAGGGACTGTCATCTTTTTAGCACGTATCCCTAGGACCCTGCACACGGTGGGTGCTGAATTGAGCTGACTAAGTCAGCAGTGACACAGCATAATGCCGGAACTCGGGCCAAGTCACTTTTCATCCTCACTGGGCCAAGGCTCTCCGGAATGTTGTAAGAGACCCGATCTGCGAGTCACAGGGGTGCGCAGGCATGGGGAATTGAGGTGGCGGCTTGTGCCTCACTGGGCTGGACGGGGCAGGTGACTCTCCAGCAGACTTTGACCACAGGCCTGACGTCCGAGGCTCAGAGCCCATTTCAGTCTCATAAAGGGACTTCCAGGTCACTTACGTGAACAACAAGATGAAGACTTGACGTTTTTCTGCTGCCCCTGAGGCACTGTCCTGAAGTGTGAGCAGAGGAGGCCTCCCTGATGCTGAACTGAGGCCCAAGAGTGCTGCAGAGCCGTCCCATACCCCAAGGCCCCGAGACTTGGGGGACCCCACCCTTGCCCTACCTGAAAGCGTGGTGAGGGTGAAGTATGCCACATCTGACAGCAGCTCAATTTCCTTCCTCCACTCCAGCCATTTCTTAGCACCTGAAAGGACAAAGGGGAAGAGCACTCTAAGCAATAAATCAGCGTCTTCTGTGTGCCAGACACTGTGCCAAGCCCTGGCATGAGGGGCAGCAAGGCGGGAGATGGCACGTCCTGTAAGGGGAACATGCAAAGACCCAGTGAGCTGGATGGGAGAGTTCCGCAGGGTGGGTCACGTGCAGTTGGGGCCAAATCGTCCTCCAACAAGACCCTCTGTGTCTCCATATTCTATCTGGCTATCTCCCATGTGGGGAATGCTCTCCCCTCTGGCTACTGCCGTCCCCGGCTTCCTTTAAGTCCCAACTAAAATCCCATCTTCTTACAGGAAGCCTTCCCCAGCCCCCTTCATTCCACCTCCCTCCCTCTATTGTTTCCTCTTTATCCTATACACGGCTTGTCTGTACCTCATTCTATTAGACCTGTGAGCTCACTGAAGGCAGGGACTCTTGTCTCTTTTTGTATGCCCAGCACTTAGCACAGTGCCTGGCACACAGTAAGCACTGCATAAATGTTAGCCTTTTTTTTTTAAGATTGTAAGCTCCTTGAGGGCAGGGACTCTTTTGTCTCTTTTTGTATCCCCAGCACTTAGCACAGTGCCCGTCACACAGTGAGGGCTATATCAATGTTAGCCTTTTTTTGATTGTAAGCTCCCTGAGGGCGGGGACTCTTTTGCCTCTTTTTGCATCCCCAGCACTTAACACAGTGCTGGCACACAGCAGACGCTTAATAAATGTTCACTGTTTGAAAGTAAAGGGACTCGGTGCCAGAAAGAGGAGTCCGTACTTTATATAGTAGCGCTAGGGAGCGAACGAGGGGAGGAATAGCACTTTGGCAGGTAAGTAGAGGAAGAACTAGGCGGGCCGTTGGGGCGGGGCTCTCGGAAAGCAAGGGGACTGACGTAATCACAACTGCTACAGCGGAGAAGCTAGGGGGCCGCGGCACACACGTAGGTCCGCCCCGCCCCGCCCCTTCTTCTGTCTCGCCTTCCCTCTTACGCCTGCGCACTCCGGGGCTCCTGGTAGCGCTTCGCTCGCCGGCCCCGCCTTCTCCAGGCTCAACCTGCGCAGCCCCCCTCACCCCACCCCCACGCCCATCCGCGCCTGCGCAGGCCTTGGCCCAGGCTCACCTGCCAGGCCGTGCAGAGCGCCTCCGGCTGCGCTCCGCAGACTGCCCCGGTAATACTCATCCTTCTGCGCGGCGCGGATCACCTCCGGCTGATTGGCGGGCGCCAGGGCCATGACTACGACCCTAACCGCCTCCCGGCTCCGGGCACGGCCCCTCGGCGCCCAAAGGGCGGGGCCTCGTGACCAACGTCGCTCGGATCTGCGTCGCGTGGATTATACGTCACACACCCATGCAGGGCTGGGGGTGGGGCGGAGGGGGAGGAGGGTAAGGTCTTAAAGGGACCCGGCGCTCCGGAGAGCTCCGGGGTGGCGAGGGAGTGGGGGTCGGGGAACGAATGCCTCGAGCGTGGCAGCTCCCTGAATGATTGGGGGTCGTGAAGACCCGCCCTCAGAGCCAGTCTAGCAGGCCCCCTTTGCACGGGCTGCCCTCCGTGCCTGCAGTGCAAAGCTCGGGTCGAGCCACCTCCTACACGGAGCCTTCCTTGATGACCCCCCCGGTGCTCCCCAGTCTCCGGTGCCGCCCCAGGACCTTTCAAATTTTTTTTTTTACGTAGACAGGGTGGTTTCAGCAGTACCCACTGTCTTCTCTGTAGATTGGAAACTCCTTGAGAGCGGGGGTTATTGTCTTCTCCCCTCCCCCATTTAATAAATGTCTGTCAATTGACTAATGGACCGTTTGGGTCGCGGGCTTATCCTTGTACTCTGCAAAGTCAATTCGGGTGAACATCACCCCGCATCCTCCCGCGGGTGCGGAAAGTCCATCCTGCACCTTCCCGATACCCTCGTGAGTGACCAGAACGGCTGACCCCCCGGCCTTGCACCCGAGAGGCGGAGGCTGGAAGTCAGCAGACCTGGGTCCATCTGCTGGCCACTTGTGTGGCCTGAGCCTCAGTTTCCCCATCTATAAAATAAGAAAGGATTAGATCGTCTCGAACTTTCCATGATTCTGGGTTCCACAGCCCCTCCCGGCTCCTAAAGCTTCCTCCCGTCGGACAAGCTGGCAAAGGGCTCCGGAAGGGCATCTGGAACCTCGGGGTGGCACCCCCGGCCACATCACCCGTCTGCCTTGGGGCAGCGCAGCCCCTCGCCGCATTGGGGCTCGAAGCCCCCCTGGGACGTGCGCAAGTCCCAACCTCCCGGAGCGTGCTCCGTAGCGGACTGGGGGCAGCGTCTCCAAACACTAGACTAAATGTTGTTTATTTTCAGTTCTGGATTCTCCCCGCCCCCTACCCCCCTCCCTCCATTGAGAAAGCAAGCAAGAAAAAAAAAAGTTACAAATAGATACAAGCGAGCTAAACAAATTCCCACCTTAGCTACTTTTATCTTATCTATCCCTTTCTATCCACTCTATCCATCCTTCTATCTCTCTATCCACTCTATCCATCTAACAATCCGCTTTAGTATATATGTATGTATACACACACCACACACACGTTAAGTCGTTTTTTCGGCCTTGTGCCTTCTTGATCCCATTTGAGGTTTCCTTGGCAAAAATACTTGAGTGTTTTGCCATTTCCTTCTCCAGATGAGGAAACTGAGGCATACAGGATTAAATGATAGGAAGTCACAGCTAGGAAGTATCTGAGGCCAGATTTGAACTAGGGAAGAGGGAGGAGTCTTCCTAAAGTCCAGGCCTGATGCTCTATCCTATTTGGATGGATGGATGGACGGGGTAGATGAGATATAGAAATGCATACATATACATATATGTACATTTATAGTGCATATAGGTATATGCTTTAATTCGCACTCAAGTCCATTGCCTCACTTTTTGGAGGTGGATAGCATGTTTCTCAATCCTGAGAATTGTGGCTGATCATTGCATAGATCGGCTTTCTAAGTCTTTCAAAGTTGTTTACCTTTAGGACATTGTTATTATTGTATAAAGTGTTCTGGTTCTCTCCAAACACTTTTGATATTGTACATCAATAAAGATTTTTTGAGTATGCACCCTCTGTTATTTTTTTTATATAAATAAGTATATTTACTTATTTTGTGTGACCCTTTGTCCACCTCAGTTTCTTCTTCTGCAAAATGAGGATAATAATAGCATTTACCTTCCAAGGTTGTTGTGAGGATGAAATCAGATAATACTTTTTTAAATTCGGAAACCTTGAAGTGCTATATAAATGCTAGCTAGTATTATTATTACTATTTATGTACAATATAAAACTTACTTAAAAATCGAAATTAAGGAAAACTAAAATAAAGATGAAATCATCTTTGATTTCTTAAGGGAGCCAATGGGAGTTTACTGATTAGGGGAGTGACCTAGTCAAGGCAGTGGTTTAGGAAAATCCCGAAATAGCTGGGTGGAGGCTGAATTAAACAGGGGAAGAGAAACCAATAAGGAAGCTACTGCAAACAGTCCTGTCAAGAGGTGATGAGGTCCTGAATTAAGGTGGTGTCCATGTGAGTAGAAAGTTCGGAACCAATGTGAGAGATGTGGAAGTCTGACAATTAGGCAACTGATTGGATAGAGGGAGGTGGAGTTGGGGAGGTGAAAGAGATTATGGGAAAATGCAAGTAGGAGGTTAATAGTACCCCCCCACACACACACACACATGGAGAGAGAGAGTATTAGGGAAGATTGGGAGATGGGTGAGTTTTGTTCGACGAGTGAGATCTGCAATCCAGATTATAATCTTGCCATGATCCAAGATCCTTGGTCCCAGTCAAAACCACAAGGGGGGAGATGAGGCTTACTGGTCACTGCTCCCAGAGGTAGCCATGACATGACCTGGGAGGGAGTTGAACTGGGGTTGAACTTTCTCAAAGACAACCCTGCAGCTGCTATGGGTAGAGGGAGGTTGGTTTAGGTTATAACTACCCTGAGGGGCCAACACCTGCATTGGAAGAGGAGAGACTGGGAGATAGCAGAGTAGGTGTGGGAGGGGGAGGTGAGGAGGAGGAAGGTTGGGGGCAAGGATAAATATCTGTCTCTAGCTCTCCCTTCAGTCTCCTGGGCATCTCAAACTCAACCTATCTAAAAACCAAACCTCAGAAACCTTCCCCTTTCCCCAAATCCCCTATTTCTGCTGAAGGTACTACTGTCTCTGCAGTCTGCCAGATTCATAACTTCGGCATCATCAACTCCTGACTTTCACTCGCCCCTCGAATCCAGTAACCTGTTGAATCTTGTGGTTTCTCCCTCCATAACCACACTTGATTTCAGGCCCTTCTCCGTTCTTGCCATGACCATTGCAATGTCTCCCTATCTGCTCGCCCGCTCTCTCTCTCTCTCTCTCTCTCTCTCTCTCTCTCTCTCTCTCTCTCTCTCTCTCTCTCTCTCATCCCAGTCCATCCTATACACAGCTGCCAAGGTAATTTTCCTTAAGCCCAGATCTGTCCATGTCAATCCCCATCTTAGTCAATGCCCAGTGGCTTCCCATTGCCTCTAGAAATAGACATTTCACTGTTTAGCTTTTAAAGCCTTATACAACCTGGCCCCAAGCTAACTCACTGGACCTTACTCCCCCCCCCCCCCCCCCGCCTCCCAACGCACACATTGTGCTATCCAAGCAAGTTGGCTTTCTCTCTCTTCCTAACACTGAATGTCCCATATACTGGCATGCACTAACTCCACCCCTCATTTCCACCTTAAAGAGTTTCTCTCTTCCTTTAAGATGCAGCTCAAGATAATCAACTATGATAGACTTAGCTCCCCTCAGCAACACAATGATCAAAGACAATTCCAAAAGACTCGTGATGGAAAATGCTATCCATATCCAGAGAAAGAACTATAGAGTCTGAATGCAGATCAAAGCATACTATTTTCACCTCTTTTTGTTTTTTTTTCTTTCTTGTGGTTTTCGCCTTTTGTTCTGATTCTTCTTTCACAACATGACTAACGTGGAAATATATTTAACATGATTGCACATGTATAACCTATATCAGATTGCCTACCGTCTTGGGGAGGGGAGGAAGGGAAGGAGGAAGGAAGGGAGAAGAATTTGGAACTGAAAATCTTACAAAAACAAATGTTGAACTCCAAAAGACTCATGATGGAAAATGGTATCCACGTCCAGGAAAAAGAACTACGGAATCTGAATGCAGATCGAAGCATAATATTTGCACTCTCTCTCTCTCTGTCTCTCTGTCTCTCTCGTTTCCTCTTTCTCATGGTTTCTCCTATTGGTTCTAATTCTTCTTTACAGTGACTTCTTTATAATGACTAATGTGAAAATATGTTTAATATGAATGTATATGTAGAGCCTATATCAGATTGCACGCAGTCTTGGGGGTGGGGGAGGGGAGGGAGGAGGAGAAAATTTAGAACTCAAAATCTTATAGAAGTGAACGTTGAAAACTAAAAATAAATAAATTTTAAAAATGATGAAAACTATCTTTACATGTAATTGAAAAAATAAAATACTATTAAGTGTGTGTGTGTGTGGGGAAAGATGTAGCTCAAGCTCCATCTTCTCTATGAAACCTTTTCTCATCCCTCCAAATACTAGTGCCCTCCCTCTCACAATATCTTGTGTACATTTGTATTTATTCCCTATATATATATTTGTATCTATATTTTTCTCCCCATTGGAATGAAAGTTCATTAGGAGTTGGGATTGTTTCATTCTTTGGTTTTATTTCCCTCATGCCTACCACAATGCCTGGCACACAGTAGGCACTTAATGAATACTTCATGACTGATGGACTGATAAAATCACTCTCTTCCTTCAAGACTCACCCTTTCTAGAAGAAGCCTTTCGTGATCCCCCAACAACTAGTTACTCCTCTCCCAAACTACCTTGTATTTTAACTGATTTGTATTTCTTCGCCTTATATTTATTCTGTATGTACATATTTATGTCCAGGTTGTCTCCCCCATCAGAATGCAAACATCTCTAGAGAAGGCATGGCTTCCTTCTTGGGCTTGTAATCTCCAATGCCTGGCATGTATGTATGTATGTATGTATGTGTGTATGTGTGTATGTATATGTATGTGTGTATGTATATGTATGCATGTATGTGTGTATGTATGTGTGTATGTATGCGTGTGTATGTATGTGTGTATGTATGTATGTGTGTGTATGTGTGTGTATGTATGTATGTATGTACATATTTATGTCCAGGTTGTCTCCCCCATCAGAAGCAAACATCTCTAGAGAAGGCATGGCTTCCTTCTTGGGCTTGTAATCTCCAATGCCTGGCATGTATGTATGTATGTATGTATGTATGTATGTATGTATGTATGTATGTATGTATGT